ACTGAGGTAAAGTGGTACATGCCATGCCAGCCCTGATCAATCTGTAATTCTTCAGCCTGCCCCTGAGTGCCATCATTGCCATTGGCATCATTCATTGCATATCGTCTCCCAGGGCCCATGCAGGGCCATAGATGGCCACGTTGGTCCGCCCATACTTGCGATCCTTGATCTGCGCAGCATGGAACGGGGTGGGGAGAAGCGCCATGTTCAGCACAGGACAGCGGGGAGGAGTGGAGTGTTCATCCCTAAGTTGCTGCCACATATCGACCCTATGACACCTAACTGGTGTTCACTCGGATTCGCCCATACTTTCGATCATTGATCTGAACAGCTTTAAGTGATCTGAACAGCATGAAGTGATCTGAACAGCATGAAGTGATCTGAACAGCATGAAGTGATCTGAACAGCATGAAGTGATCTGAACAGCATGACGTGATCTGAACAGCATGAAGTGATCTGAACAGCATGAAGTGATCTGAACAGCATGAAGTGATCTGAACAGCATGAAGTGATCTGAACAGCATGAATCGATCTGAACAGCATGAAGCGATCTGAACAGCATGAAGCGATCTGAACAGCATGAAGTGATCTGAACAGCATGAAGTGATCTGAACAGCATGAAGTGATCTGAACAGCATGAAGTGATCTGAACAGCATGAAGTGATCTGAACAGCATGAAGTAGGGAGAAGCGCCATGTTCAGCACAGCAGGGAGGAGTGGAGTGTCTCGCATGGCAGCCAACACAGGCATAGATGATGGGAAGGAATAAGAAAAAAGATGCGCTACGCAACAGAAACTAAAAAATCACCTTATATAGAGGACCGCATGTGTCCAAGATCTCATCCTTAGATTTGTTTGGATACTCCACGACCTGGCAGGATGCATGCGATACGATGGGCAGTGTGAGGAAGACATGGAGTGTGAGGAAGACATGGAGTGTGAGGAACACATGGAGTGTGAGGAAGACATGGAGTGTGAGGAAGACATGGAGTGTGAGGAAGACATGGAGTGTGAGGAAGACATGGAGTTAGCTGAATTTTGGGTCGACTTGGAGTTAACATGCATGATTCCATAAAATACACCAGCCACACCATGCATGTTTCCATAAAATACACCAGCCACACCATGCATGTTTCCATAAAATACACCAGCCACACCATGCATGTTTCCATAAAATACACCAGCCACACCATGCATGTTTCCATAAAATACACCAGCCACACCATGCATGTTTCCATAAAATACACCAGCCACACCATGCATGATTCCATAAAATACACCAGCCACACCATGCATGTTTCCATAAAATACACCAGCCACACCATGCATGTTTCTGGGTGCAGCAGCGGCGAGGCAGCGAGCTGGGCCATGAGTTGACTGTACACGACGAGCTCATAGGGAGGAGTCACACTGATGAAGCTGAAAGGCCCTCCCACCCACTCAGCTGGGGGAGGGAGAGAGAGGGGAGCAGGGGGGGAGAGAGAGGGGAGCAGGGAGGGAGTGGTGAAGGACAGGACGGGAAGGCAGCAAGCTGGGCCATGAGTTGGCTGTGCACGGCGCGCTCATAGGGAGGGGTCACACTGATGAAGCTGAAGGGACCCCCTACCTACCCACTCGGCTGCGAGGGTGACAAGAAGAGTGCAAAGCAGGAGGGCAGAGGGCGGAGGGCACATGCAGGGTTGAAGCAGGAGCGCTGTTGCGATGAGATGAGATGAGATGAGATGAGATGAGATGAGATGAGATGAGATGAGATGAGATGAGATGAGATGAGATGAGATGAGATGAGATGAGATGAGATGAGATGAGATGAGATGAGATGAGATGAGATGAGATGAGATGAGATGAGATGAGATGAGATGAAGCTCATAGGGGGGGAAGAGGGTGGAGGTCACAATGATGAAGGTGAAGGGCCTTTCCCTCCCACTCGCCTGGCCTTTCCCTCCCACTCGCCTGGCCTTTCCCTCCCACTCGCCTGGCCTTTCCCTCCCACTCGCCTGGGACACCATCTGTTCCTGGGGATGGCTGGGACACCATCCGTTCTAATGACGTGCAAAAGTGCCGTCGGCAACACGTGCTGATCGCAGTTCTCATCGTCGCTGATACTGACTGACCCACCAACTGTACATCTGCACTCGCGCACCAATGAAAATCGCGCGTGAAAAAACGTCTGCGACCTGTTCGGCTTTGAACAAGCCGGGGGACGCACCCTTGAAGCTATTCCTTACTGAATCGACAACCCTCGCACGCTTGGGGTATGCCGTGCCAAATTTCAGGGCTTTTAGTTTTCCTATGCCCCAAATGGTTTTGCCACACGCCCTGGTGTTTACGAAACTCACAACTGCGTCATTACAGTTGCACAGTGCTTCGGAAAACACTTCTAAACACCAGCCATGTGGAAATGCCGCACGGCTGTACATTGGGAGTCCAGTTCCGTGTCGGTGGGCTGCCTCGTTGAAAGCACGTGGCCCCAAAGCTCTAATGTCCAGATGTCCAGACGAGTGCATGCATGCACGGGCCACGGCAGTGAAGCTGCAGCTTCACTGCAGGGGCCTCCCACCCACTCAGCTGCGAGGGCAGAACGAACAAGTGCAGGGTTGACCAAGTGCAGGGTTGACCAAGTGCAGGGTTGACCAAGTGCAGGGTTGACCAAGTGCAGGGTTGACCAAGTGCAGGGCTGACCAAGTGCAGGGTTGACCAAGTGCAGGGTTGACCAAGTGCAGGGCTGACCAAGTGCAGGGTTGACCAAGTGCAGGGTTGACCAAGTGCAGGGTTGACAAAGTGCAGGGCTGACCAAGTGCAGGGTTGACCAAGTGCAGGGTTGACCAAGTGCAGGGTTGACCAAGTGCAGGGTTGACCAAGTGCAGGGTTGACCAAGTGCAGGGCTGACCAAGTGCAGGGAAAATGAAGGAGGCGGCGCGCGGGAGGCCAAACAGGGTTGAACGAGTGCAGGACGAGCAGGAGTGAGAGGGGTAGGGAGGGAGGGAGAACGCAACGGAGTAAGAGAAGAAGAACTGAGTGAAACTGCATGTCTGTACCCCTGCTGAATCAATACAACGGACCGTCTGAGACGAAGAGAGAGGAGGCAGAGGGCTGATGAGGGTTCAGATGAGGAAAAGTGGCCCCGTACCTCCTTGTACCTCCCCGTACCTCCTCGTACCTCCTCTTTGCTCCGCTTGCTGGAGAAATGACTCGACTTTGAGCGGGTGGATGGTGGTGTGGGAGGAGGCGGAGCAGGCTTCAATGTTAGGGGCGAGCACCGAGGATACGACCCACGGGTCCATCTCGACAAAGTGTGCCTGCTAAGGGGAGGGGGAATGGAGGAAGAACGGAGGATGGAAGGGACGGAAGGGAAAGGGGGGACGGGAGAAGGGGAGAGCAACAGAAGGGTAGAGTGCAAAGTTCAGAGGATGGGATGGGAGGGAGGAGGAATATGATGCACTTGCGGCGCCAAGTCCATTTGTATGGATTGCGCATGGGGCAGGGAGGGAGGGAGGGAGGGGCAGGGAGGGACAGACGGACGGACGGACGCAAGGTTCAAAAATACGGTAAACGTAAATTACGGCTCGTAAATTACGGTCGTAATTTACGGTGGTTTTGGCAAAAATACGGTCGTTTTTTAAATGGACATTTTTTGCGTTTTTTTTCCAGAAATTCCTAGAAAGCTTACAACGATGATAAGGAAGGCGACAACATACTACACTACAGAATGGTGGTTTTTGCCCTGGTTTAACTTGGTGGTGTTGCGTTGGCGAATGGAATATGCAAAAGGGATGAGATGGAAGGGATGAAGATTGGACGAACGCTATTGGACTGTCGAAATTGAGTTGAGTAGCGCATGCGGGCGAGAAAAACGAACGGGCCGCGAAACGACCCGCCGACTTGGCGAAACGGGTAGACTTGTGTTATCCGTTTGCCAAATGTACAATTTGCCGCGTCGCACAAATTTGTACATTTGCGATTCGGCGAAATACACAAACGAGTGTGCGAATGGGCAACAAACCTGTTAAACTGTCAGCAAAATGCACAATGTCGCGCCTCAAGATTTTGCTGACACTCGCGACTCGGGAAAAAAACACTCTCGAGTGGGTTTGGGGCCACAAAAATTCTCACGAACAGGTTGACAGTTGGGAAATGTTGAAATTCGCTATACACAAACTCGGTTTCAAACTTTCGGTCGTAATTTACGACCGTATTTTTTAACCAACCTAATTTTGCAACGTCAAACCGTTTTTTACCGTAATTTACGACCGTAAATTACGATACCGTAATTTACGGTAAATTTTCAAAACTACAGTCGTATTTTTGAACCTTGGACGGACGGACGGACGGACGGACGGACGGACGGACGGACGGACGGACGGACGGACGGACGGACGGACGGACCGACGGACGGACCGACGGACCGACGGACCGACGGACGGACGGACGGACGGACGGACGGACGGACGGACGGACGGACGGACGGACGGACGGACGGACCGACGGACGGACGGACGGACGGACGGACGGACCGACGGACCGACGGACCGACGGACGGACGGACGGACGGACGGACGGACGGACGGACGGACGGACGGACGGACGGACGGACGGACGGACGGACGGACGGACGGACGGACGGACGGACGGACGGACGGACGGACGGACGGACGGACGGACGGACGGACGGACGGACGGACCGACGGACGGACCGACGGACGGACCGACGGACGGACCGACGGACGAACGGACGGACGGACGGACGGACCGACGGACCGACGGACGGACGGACGGACGGACGGACGGACCGACGGACGGACGGACCGACGGACGGACGGACCGACGGACGGACCGACGGACGGACCGACGGACGGACGGACGGACGGACGGACGGACGGACCGACGGACCGACGGACGGACGGACGGACGGATGGACGGACGGACGGACGGACGGACGGACGGACGGACGGACGGGATGGACAAATGGATCACGGGAAGGACAGAATCACCTGGCCACACCGTCACCCCTTCACCTTCACCTGCCCGCCTCCAACCGCAGCCTGTCCACATCAGTACAGGGGCATCATGCAGCCTGTCCAAATCAGTACAGGGGCATCATGCAGCCTGTCACATCATGCAGTGAGTGAGTGTTCATTGCCACATGTGCCACCCCTCATCACCTGCGCGCACCTCCTGCCCACACCCTCTGCTCATAGCCTTTACTCAAGAAAGCCCTGCTCAGGACAGCCCTGCTCAGGACAGCCCTGCTCAGGACAGCCCTGCTCAGGACAGCCCTGCTCAGGTCCAGCCCTGCTCAGGTCCAGCCCGGGCAAACCGGCTGCCCGCGTCGCAGGTATCGCCCATATCCCCACCCCACGCCCACCCATGCCCTCACCTGTGTGCACCCTCGGCTCATGGCCTCATGGCCATGAGTGAACTTCTCAGCGCCAGCACCCAGTGCTGCCCACACCATGCCCCCATACGCCATGCCCCCATACGCCATGCCCCCATACGCCATACCCCCATACGCCATGCCCCCATACGCCATGCCCCCATGGGCCATGCCCCCATGGGCCATGCCCCCATACGCCATGCCCCCATACGCCATGCCCCCATACGCCATGCCCCCATACGCCATGCCCCCATACGCCATGCCCCCATGGGCCACGCCCCCATGGGCCATGCCCCCATACGCCATGCCCCCATACGCCATGCCCCCATACGCCATGCCCCCATACGCCTATGATGCGAAAGACGCGTCCTGCGTCCTGGACGCATGCGTCCAGACGCATGCGTCCGGACGCAGGACGCTTCACCAGGACCAGAAAGACGCACCAAAAGACGCAGTCCCGGGCAGGCAAAAAAAACCCCCGGGCAGGCAAAAAAACTTGTTATAGGGCATGGGATGAGAGGGGGGGGGGGGGGGGGAACGTTCCACACTTTCAAGGCAAACTTGGCCCCAATATCAAATTTTCCCCCAAATCTCAAGATTAAGGTGAGTCACGTATTGTCACACACATGTCCCAAGGTCACATACACAGTTTATCGTATCACTGAAGAACAAGCATACTATTAAACTACCACCACAGCACTGCATGCAGGCAACCAGTCACTCATCCCCGTCCTCCTCGCTATCCTTCTCATCCTGGTCCTTGTACTCATCGACCATCATGTCGTCCTCGTCCACCTCCCTCTCCCCATCCTCCTCCAACATGTACCCCTCGGGGAGGGGAGGGGTGGGAATGTTCTCCTCGGCATGAACATCCCTAGATGCGTTAGATGACGTAGGGTTGCTTGAGGAAGCCATAATGGAGCTAAGCTATGCTTGTAGGCTAAAACCTCTAGGGTTTTCGAAAGAGAATTGGTTGGGTGGGTGAAATGAGAAATGACTTGGTTGGATTGCTAAATGGGCTTGGTGGTAGGCACCTTGGTTGGGTTTTCTAGATGTGAAATGGTTGAGAGGTATTTGGAATTCAATTGTTGCACGGGGGGTTATGAAATGTTGGGGGGGGGGCTGTTTTTCAATGTCGAATTGAGCAATGGGGGGTCAAAATTTCGCGATTTCGACAGTCGCGTCGAAATCGCGAGATTGAAATTCGTAATCTGGAAATAAAAATAAAAATTCGGGGCAGCCCGAAAATTTTTCGATCTACGTCCTGCGTCTGGACGCGCGTCTTGCGTCCTAGCGTCCAGACGCTGCGTCCAGACGCAGGACGCAGCGTCCTCTGAGCGTCTTTCGCATCATAGCCATACGCCATGCCCCCATACGCCATGCCCCCATACGCCATGCCCCCATACGCCATGCCCCCATGGGCCATGCCCCCATAGGCCATGCCCCCATGGGCCATGCCCCCATGGGCCATGCCCCCATAGGCCATGCCCCCATGGGCCATGCCCCCATGGGCCATGCCCCCATGGGCCATGCCCCCATACGCCATGCCCCCATGGGCCATGCCCCCATACGCCATGCCCCCATACGCCATGCCCCCATACGCCATGCCCCCATACGCCATGCCCCCATGGGCCATGCCCCCATACGCCATGCCCCCATACGCCATGCCCCCATACGCCATGCCCCCATACGCCATGCCCCCATACGCCATGCCCCCATACGCCATGCCCCCATGGGCCACGCCCCCATGGGCCATGCCCCCATACGCCATGCCCCCATACGCCATGCCCCCATACGCCATGCCCCCATACGCCTATGATGCGAAAGACGCGTCCTGCGTCCTGGACGCATGCGTCCAGACGCATGCGTCCGGACGCAGGACGCTTCACCAGGACCAGAAAGACGCACCAAAAGACGCAGTCCCGGGCAGGCAAAAAAAACCCCCGGGCAGGCAAAAAAACTTGTTATAGGGCATGGGATGAGAGGGGGGGGGGGGGGGGGGGAACGTTCCACACTTTCAAGGCAAACTTGGCCCCAATATCAAATTTTCCCCCAAATCTCAAGATTAAGGTGAGTCACGTATTGTCACACACATGTCCCAAGGTCACATACACAGTTTATCGTATCACTGAAGAACAAGCATACTATTAAACTACCACCACAGCACTGCATGCAGGCAACCAGTCACTCATCCCCGTCCTCCTCGCTATCCTTCTCATCCTGGCCCTTGTACTCATCGACCATCATGTCGTCCTCGTCCACCTCCCTCTCCCCATCCTCCTCCAACATGTACCCCTCGGGGAGGGGAGGGGTGGGAATGTTCTCCTCGGCATGAACATCCCTAGATGCGTTAGATGACGTAGGGTTGCTTGAGGAAGCCATAATGGAGCTAAGCTATGCTTGTAGGCTAAAACCTCTAGGGTTTTCGAAAGAGAATTGGTTGGGTGGGTGAAATGAGAAATGACTTGGTTGGATTGCTAAATGGGCTTGGTGGTAGGCACCTTGGTTGGGTTTTCTAGATGTGAAATGGTTGAGAGGTATTTGGAATTCAATTGTTGCATGGGGGGTTATGAAATGTTGGGGGGGGGCTGTTTTTCAATGTCGAATTGAGCAATGGGGGGTCAAAATTTCGCGATTTCGACAGTCGCGTCGAAATCGCGAGATTGAAATTCGTAATCTGGAAATAAAAATAAAAATTCGGGGCAGCCCGAAAATTTTTCGATCTACGTCCTGCGTCTGGACGCGCGTCTTGCGTCCTAGCGTCCAGACGCTGCGTCCAGACGCAGGACGCAGCGTCCTCTGAGCGTCTTTCGCATCATAGCCATACGCCATGCCCCCATACGCCATGCCCCCATGGGCCATGCCCCCATAGGCCATGCCCCCATGGGCCATGCCCCCATGGGCCATGCCCCCATAGGCCATGCCCCCATGGGCCATGCCCCCATGGGCCATGCCCCCATGGGCCATGCCCCCATACGCCATGCCCCCATGGGCCATGCCCCCATACGCCATGCCCCCATACGCCATGCCCCCATACGCCATGCCCCCATACGCCATGCCCCCATGGGCCATGCCCCCATACGCCATGCCCCCATACGCCATGCCCCCATACGCCATGCCCCCATACGCCATGCCCCCATACGCCATGCCCCCATACGCCATGCCCCCATGGGCCATGCCCCCATACGCCATGCCCCCATACGCCATGCCCCCATACGCCATGCCCCCATACGCCATGCCCCCATGGGCCATGCCCCCATACGCCATGCCCCCATACGCCATGCCCCCATACGCCATGCCCCCATACGCCATGCCCCCATGGGCCATGCCCCCATACGCCATGCCCCCATGGGCCATGCCCCCATACGCCATGCCCCCATACGCCATGCCCCCATACGCCATGCCCCCATACGCCATGCCCCCATACGCCATGCCCCCATACGCCATGCCCCCATACGCCATGCCCCCATACGCCATGCCCCCATAGGCCATGGTCCCATGGGCCATGCCCCCATGGGCCATGCCCCCATAGGCCATGCCCCCATAGGCCATGCCCCCATACGCCATGCCCCCATACGCCATGCCCCCATACGCCATGCCCCGATGGGCCATGCCCCCATGGGCCATGCCCCCATACGCCATGCCCCCATACGCCATGCCCCCATACGCCATGCCCCCATGGGCCATGCCCCCATGGGCCATGCCCCCATACGCCATGCCCCCATACGCCATGCCCCCATACGCCATGCCCCCATACGCCATGCCCCCATGGGCCATACGCCATGCCCCCATACGCCATGCCCCCATACGCCATGCCCCCATACGCCATGCCCCCATACGCCATGCCCCCATACGCCATGCCCCCATACGGCCATGCCCCCATACGCCATGCCCCCATACGCCATGCCCCCATACGCCATGCCCCCATACGCCATGCCCCCATACGCCATGCCCCCATACGCCATGCCCCCATAGGCCATGGCCCCATGGGCCATGCCCCCATGGGCCATGCCCCCATAGGCCATGCCCCCATAGGCCATGCCCCCATACGCCATGCCCCCATACGCCATGCCCCCATACGCCATGCCCCCATGGGCCATGCCCCCATGGGCCATGCCCCCATACGCCATGCCCCCATACGCCATGCCCCCATACGCCATGCCCCCATGGGCCATGCCCCCATGGGCCATGCCCCCATACGCCATGCCCCCATACGCCATGCCCCCATACGCCATGCCCCCATACGCCATGCCCCCATGGGCCATGCCCCCATGATCCCATGCACCCCTATGGGCCATGCTCCCAGTCCCCTCACCTGCGCGCACCGTCTACTCATTCATGGCCTCCAATCCAACGCTCCCACTGCCGCTGTACAGGACAGGTCCAACCAGCGCAAGGCGGCTGCCTGCCTGCCTGCCTGCCTGCCTGCCTGCCTGCCTGCCTGCCTGCCTGCCTGCCTGCCTGCCTGCCTGCCTGCCTGCCTGCCTGCCTGCCTGCCTGCCTGCCTGCCTGCCTGCCTGCCTGCCTGCCTGCCTGCCTGCCTGCCTGCCTGCCTGCCTGCCTGCCTGCCTGCCTGCCTGCCTGCCTGCCTGCCTGCCTGCCTGCCTGCCTGCCTGCCTGCCTGCCTGCCTGCCTGCCTGCCTGCCTGCCTGCCTGCCTGCCTGCCTGCCTGCCTGCCTGCCTGCCTGCCTGCCTGCCTGCCTGCCTGCCTGCCTGCCTGCCTGCCTGCCTGCCTGCCTGCCTGCCTGCCTGCCTGCCTGCCTGCCTGCCTGCCTGCCTGCCTGCCTGCCTGCCTGCCTGCCTGCCTGCCTGCCTGCCTGCCTGCCTGCCTGCCTGCCTGCCTGCCTGCCTGCCTGCCTGCCTGCCTGCCTGCCTGCCTGCCTGCCTGCCTGCCTGCCTGCCTGCCTGCCTGCCTGCCTGCCTGCCTGCCTGCCTGCCTGCCTGCCTGCCTGCCTGCCTGCCTGCCTGCCTGCCTGCCTGCCTGCCTGCCTGCCTGCCTGCCTGCCTGCCTGCCTGCCTGCCTGCCTGCCTGCCTGCCTGCCTGCCTGCCTGCCTGCCTGCCTGCCTGCCTGCCTGCCTGCCTGCCTGCCTGCCTGCCTGCCTGCCTGCCTGCCTGCCTGCCTGCCTGCCTGCCTGCCTGCCTGCCTGCCTGCCTGCCTGCCTGCCTGCCTGCCTGCCTGCCTGCCTGCCTGCCTGCCTGCCTGCCTGCCTGCCTGCCTGCCTGCCTGCCTGCCTGCCTGCCTGCCTGCCTGCCTGCCTGCCTGCCTGCCTGCCTGCCTGCCTGCCTGCCTGCCTGCCTGCCTGCCTGCCTGCCTGCCTGCCTGCCTGCCTGCCTGCCTGCCTGCCTGCCTGCCTGCCTGCCTGCCTGCCTGCCTGCCTGCCTGCCTGCCTAGTACTGCTCATGTCCCAGATGTCCCCTCCCCACGCTGCCCTGACCCCATGCCATGCCCCCCTGCCTCTCACCTGTCCGCATCCTCTGCTCATTGCTTCCAATCCAACGCTCCCCGTGCCGCTGTGCAGGTCCAGCAAGCGCGAGCCGGCTGCCTGCCTGGCAGGTACCTCCCATGCCCCGCATGCCCCCCATGCCCCCCATGCCCCGCATGCCCCCCATGCCCCCCATGCCCCGCATGCCCCCCATGCCTCCCATGCCCCGCATGCTCCGCATGCCCCCACTCTCCTCACCTGTCCGCACCCTCGGCTCATTGCTTCCAGCCCCACGCTCCCCGTGCCGCTGTATAGATCCAGCCAGCGCGAGCCAGTCGGCAGGTGGTGTGGCGCGTCTAGCAGCGCGTGCAACATGTCGAACACCGCCGCCCGCACCATCTCCATCATGGGCCGCACGTTGCGGTCGGCGGGGGAGAGAAGCCGCCTCCCCCTGTTGGTGCCTGATACGATCTAGGGGCGGACAGGGGGGAGGAGGGAGGGAAAGGAGGAAAGGAGGGAAGGAGGGGGTGGGGAGGAGCGGGAAGAGAGGGAAGTAAGAGTAGATGATCAAAATTATTGTGTCATGGGGTTTAAGGTTCGGACGTTGGGTTTAAAGTGACCGACCGCACCATCTCCACCATGGGGCGCACGTTGCGGTCGGCAGGGGACAGAAGACGCCGCCCCCTGTTGGTGCCTGATACGATCTAGGGGGGGACAGGGGGGAGGAGGGAGAGAAAGGAGGAAAGGAGGGGGGGAGGGGGGGGTGGGGGGGAGGGGGGGAAAGGGAGGGGAGGAGGGGGTGGGGAGGAAGGGGGGAGTGAGGAGAGTATAGGAGAAGAAAGTCTGGTGTCAGTAGCTTTAATGTTTCGGGCTTTGGGTTTAAAGTGGCCGCCTGCACGGCCTCTATCATTGGGCGCATGTTGCGGTCGGGCGGGTGCAGAAGACGCCTCCCCCGGTTGGCCCATCAGACGTTCTGCAGGGGACAGGGGGGAGGGGGGAGAGGGAAGGAATGGCGGGGAAGGGGAGGGGATGAAGGAGGGGGATGGGGAGAGGCGGGTGGAGGAGAAGGAAAGCTGGGGAGGATGCAGAAGGGGCGGGAGTGGAGGAGAGGCAGGACGGGTTAGAGGCGGGAAGACGAGGGAAGCGGAAAGGAAAGCGGAGGGAGAGGCGGGGGGACATCACAAACACACATACACACACAACCACACACCCACACATTCCCACAACCCCACAAAACCCCCTCTCCTTCCCTCCCACTCAACCCCCCCCGCCACTCATCTCCACGCACACCCCCCCACACACCTTGAGCAGCTTGTGTGTGCTGCGCGTCTTCCCAGGCTCCAGCCCTGCAATTGCCACCGCCTCACTCCCCCCACCCCCCGCGCTCACCGCCCTTCCGCCGTCTGCACCCCTGCCCCTTTCCGCCCCCCCGCGCCCTTCCGCGTCCCCCGTCTCTCCGCCCATGAGCGCGGCGGGGTCGACAAGCCACCCCTTCCCCAGGGAGAACACCTCCTCGCTCACCGACGCCCCCCCGCCCCCTCCGCCGCTCCTCCCCGCACGCTGCCCATCCGCGGAACGCGCGGGCTTCGACTTCCGCCTGGTGGACTCTGCCGGGTGGTCGGGGGACCGGGGGAAGCAGAGCAGTAGTGAGAGGGGAGCGGCATGGGCAAGCGGAGTGGTAGCGGGAAGCGGCCTGGTAGGGAGGCAGCGGATTGGTAGGGGCTGATGTGAACTAGCGTGGACTCCGGCTGTTGTGTAACTACACTCACTCGGCCGTCGAAGTGAACCGCCGTGACGACCGCATTGAACGGCTAGCCGTTGACTAGTGCGAGGGAGGGAACAGGGCGCTAGGGATGTACGCGCTAAAGTTTGCCCCTGTATCGAGTGAGAAAAAGTGTGAGACGTGTGAAGTGGTGAAATGCGCTCCAGACTCCATGCCATGACTCTGCGACGTGTTTTAATGACGAAACGTGTTCCACGGTCGCGACTGTTTGCAGGTTTTACTAAACGCCACGTGTTTCAGTGATGGGATATGGCGATTCTTGTGAAAGATTGCAGGTCTGATCGCCCGCTGAACCGACTAAATCGGGCGAGATGCGGCGCACTGCGGACGCTAACCCTGAACCTTCCCGCGAGATGCGGATGCACTGCTGACGCTAAATTGCAAGGGACTTCCAGCAAAAACGCTGACTACAAGGTTTTGTGGTTATCAGGGAGTTGAAGCTTTGAAACATCACTACAATATCAGCTCGAAGTGTCGACACCGTATCGTTTATCGAGCTAATTCTGTCTGGGTATGTTTTACGAGCCGCGTCACATCGTACAGTCGATGCTCAGCCTATCACAAAAAAATTGCTCCTCACAATTAGAAATTTAGTCACTCGCGAACGTTTTGCCCGTGAGTGACTAAATTGACCCATTCTGCGGATTTCAGGGTATAGTCACCAAGTTGCAGAAGAAAAACATCTACAGTGCATAAACAACAACGGTTGCCCGTCAATAGGAAAGTTTACCTGGTTACGAAATTAAAGCCCGTGTCTTGATTGACATTGCAATTTCATATTACAGTCACATTTTTGCCCGTGGCGACAAGGGCGAATGTGGCGAAATGCCTGAAACACGTTTCACTCACATGCCGCCCGCCTACCTGGTGTTCTTGAAATGAGCACCGACTGTACAGTATACACAACAGCAACGACAAGAAACGACGTGGGTCCAGCCAATCCTTCTGCTTTGTGACAAAATTCTGTACAGCTAATGCCCGTTAGAGCCCCTCCCGGTTGCCTTGTGAAGGGGGTCTGTAAGCTAAACCAGCATTTCGCGTGGGGTTCGTACGTTTCGTTAGGCTTTATGCGTGCTTCAAAGCTGAACATGGTAACCACTCGATTTGTTCGATTCGCAACAGTAATGGTTGGCCCTATTTGTCCCTTATGTGTGTTTCAAGTTACTCGACGAATGTGAGAACAGTGAAACAAGCAGCCTCATCAAATGTTCCTCTTAGTTCAAAACAACCAAAACACCCAATCACAACCAATCAGCCTCTCCCACATGGCCCACAGCTCCAGTCGACACAAACATCGAAGCTCGCACAAATGGGCACAAAGAGTGAACACTTGTGCCCAGCAAGGTGCCTTCGACGCCTAGCATGGTGTGCATGTCCATACTCCTCGCCTCATAACACGCCGAATCCCCACTCGAGCTGACAGCTCCTGCCACTGGCGTTGCACCTCCTTTGACGTCATAGCTAACGGCATGATCGCGGAGGAGGGGCTATGTCGATGAGCGTTTATCTCGTCCGCGCCGCGGCGCGAATCACTACCAGAGAACAGGACTTGCGGCACACACGTCGGCGGCGCGGTCCGCCCTACGGCTCGCATCGCCCGTTCCGCGACATTGTCGTCATCATCCGACGAGGAATCGTCGTTTGCCGGCTGAGCGACGAGCACCACCTGCCGGCCGTCAAAATCAGTTTCAGGTTGCTCGTGAATCACCCACTGAGCCGGTTGCTGAACCGGCATTTGTCGACCTGCTGCTGCGGATGTTAGCGATGACGATATCGATGTCGTACCGCTGCTAAACGACGAGCCATGCCAAACAGCGCGTCAACCTGTCAGAACATATAGCTTACTTGTTTCTGTAGGCTATAGTGGGGTATCCCATAGGGGGTACAACCCAATTAGGGTTTCCTATTTGTACTCACTTCATTTCATAGTCATTCATTCTCTCGTTCACACTTTCTCATGGAATCAGAGCAGGTCCCTTCTTAGGGCCTGTTCCTAGGGCCCACCGAAGCGCGCCCCGAGGCGCGCATTTTTTTTAGCGACCCTCCGTGTCGCCCTCCCCGTCGTGCTCCCTTTAGGCCCCTCGTCGGCCCCGCCTAGGCCCCTCGTCGGCCCCACGTAGCCCCCGTCGGCCCCACTTAGGCCCCGCGTCGGCCCCGCCTAGACCCCGTCGGCCCCTCGTCGGCCCCGCCTAGGCCCCACGTCGGCCCCGCGTAGCCCCCGTCGGCCCCGCTTAGGCCCCACGTCGGCCCCGCGTAGCCCCGCTTAGGCCCGTCGGCCCCGCTTAGGCCCCGCTTTGGCCCCGCGTCGGCCCCGCCTAGACCCCGTCGGCCCCGCGTTGGCCCTGCTTAGGCCCCGTCGGCCCCGCGTTGGCCCCGCTTAGGCCCCGCCGGCCCGCCTAGGCCCCCACTTCGGCCCCTCGTCGGCCCCGCCCAGACCTCGTCGGCCCCGCCACGGCCCTACGCCGGCCCCGCTTCAGCTGCTGTCGACCCCGCTACAGCCCGCCACTGGCCCCGCTACACCCCGCCACTGGCCCCGCTACAGCCTGCCACCGGCCCCACTACGGCCCGCCGTTGGCCCCGCTACAGCCCGCACCGGCCCCCGCTACAGCCCGCACCGGCCCCTGCTACAGCCCGCCGCCGGCCCAGCTACAGCCCGCCACCGGCCCCGCTACAGCCCGCCACCGGCCCCTGCTACAGCCCGCCGCCGGCCCAGCTACAGCCCGCCACCGGCCCCACTACAGCCCGCCGTCGGCCCGCCGTCGGCCCCGCTACAGCCCTCCCCCCGGCCCCCGCTGCAGCCCGCCGTGCTGCACGTGAGCAGCCCCAGCAGCCCGCGCCCCCCGTGAGCACCTACGCCACCCGAGCCGCGCGAGCCGCCCGAGCCGCCCGAGCCGCCCGAGCCGCCCGAGCCGCCCGAGCCGCCCGAGCCGCCTGAGGAGCCGTGCTGCTGTTCCTGAGCTGTGTTCCTCTGCTGCTGACCTACCCGACTCTCCCACCCCGGTGAGACTTTCAGCTGCTGCCATGGCCACCCCAAATGTTCTTACTTTTGACGCTGAGGGGAGGGCCATTGACTTTGCCGTCTGGATTGAAGACCTGCAGCTGTTCTTACTGTGTGATGCGATAGATGAGGTCTCTCTCTTTGACTTTGTCTCTGGCGCTGTCCCTGCCCCACCTGCTGATGCTGACTCTGCCGTTCGCTCCAAGTGGGCGACCCGCGATGCTGCTGCACGTCTTGCTGTGCGTCGCCACCTCCCTTCCTCTGAGCGTGCCCACTTTAGTCAGTGCAAGACCGCTCAGGCCTTGTACGACGCTGTAGTTGCACGCTACTCCTCCCCTTCCTCCGCTACCCTTAGCCGCCTCATGCTACCGTTTCTCTTCCCTCACCTCGCTTCCTTTCCCACTGTCGCTGACCTCGTTACCCACCTCCGTGCTAGTGACACCCGCTACCGCGCTGCCCTTCCTGCTGAGTTCCGCGCTGCGAACCCTCCTCCCATGTACATCACTCTCTACTTTCTCGTCACCCGTCTCCCTGAGTCCCTTCGTGTCGTTCGGGACCAGTTTCTCTCTGTCTGTCCCACCACTCTCACTGTCGACCTCCTTGAGGAGTCCCTGCTAGCGGCTGAGAAGAGTATTGTCGCTGTAGGGGCCTCTCGGGGTGACCCTCGCACCCCCATCTTTGAGGGGTGTGGTCCTTCCCCCCTGCTGCCCTCTGTCGCCTCTGCCGCTGCGGCCGACCTCGCTGGTTTTGAGTCGGTCGGCGCGGCGTCTGCCCCCAGCGGCAGACGCCGCTCTGGCAAGGGCAAGGGGGGCAAGGGAGCGGGTGGAGCTAGAGGGGGCGGTGGAGGAGGCGATGGGGGTGGCGGGTGGAGTGGGGGTGGCGGTGGGGGTGGTGGCGGGAGTGGAGGTACTGGTGGCGGCGGTGGAGGCGGAGGTGGCGGCGGAGGTGGTAGCGGAGGAGGCGGTGGGAGCGGTGGGAGCGACGGTCCTGGTGGGGGAGGTGGCGGTGGAGACGGGGGTGGCGGTGGAGGCGGGGGTGGCGGTGGAGGCGGGGGTCGGAGTGGCTCGTCCCAGCGGAGCAGCTCTGGGGGTGGTCAGCGCCAGCAGCAGCAGCAGCAGCAGCAGCCGCAGCAGCAGCCACAGCAGCAGCAGCGCTCTCGCACCGTCCCCGCCCCTCAGCAGCTCCGTGAGTGGTACTTGCAGCGTCAGCGTGGTGGTGCGCTTGGTCCCTGCCCCTACGTTCTTCGCACCGGTGACCGTGCAGGGGAGAGGTGTGGAGGCGCCCACACAGCCCGCCGCTGCTTTGGCCGCCTGACCGACGCCTGGCGTCAGCAGTTTCCGGAGGCCGCTGAGATCCCCCGCTGGGGAGAGCTGTCTAGGGCTGGTGTAGCTATTTATGATCTTGATTTTGATGCTATTCTCTCTGCTATGTATGCTGTGACTGGTAGTGATGAGGATGACTGTTACCGGTGTTTCCCGCCCGACCCGGGCATTGGTACTGCCGCGTCAGGTACTAGTGAGGCTGCTGCTCTAGGTGCCAGTGCGTCTGTGCTCTCAGGTGCTGGTGAGTCTGCCCTCTCAGGTACTGTGTCGGCTTCGGCCTCTCACACCTTCACCCTTGACTCTGGAGCGTCTCGCTCCTTCTTTAGGGACCGCACCACTCTCACGCCGCTGAGTCGGCCGGTTGCGGTGTCCCTAGCTAACCCCTCTGGGGGGCCTGTCCTGTCTCGCTTCTCCACTGTCCTCCCGTGTCCGGCGGCCCCCTCTGGCACCCTGACTGGTCTCTACCTCCCCTCGTTCTCGACGAACTTGGTGAGTGGTGCTGACCTCCAGGATGCGGGTGTCCACCAGTTCACCCCTGCTCGTCAGCGGGTGACCCACTGCACGGAGGCGGATACAGGTCGCCACCTGGCTACGTTTACACGTCGGCCAGGGTCGAGCCTGTACACACTGACCACTGCTTCTCCTCCAGGTGCTACGTCTGGTAGGGTCCCTTCGTCTGGTCAGGTGTTTGCTGCAGCGTCCAGGTCTGGTCTTGAGTCTGCCCCCTGTTCGTGTCGTCGTCTGTCTCACGAGACCCTCCTCTGGCACCACCGCCTTGGCCACCCCTCTCTGCTTCGGCTCAGAGGCATGGCCTCGCGAGTCCTTGTGTCTGGTCTTCCCCGGTCCCTCCCTCCCCTTCCTCCGGGCCCTGGCCCTACCTGTGTCCCCTGTGTCGAGGGGCGCCAGCGTGCTGCCCCTCACTCCTCCCAGTTTCCTCCGACAGAGGCCCCGTTGCAGACGCTTCACATGGACGTGTGGGGCCCAGCCCGCGTCCGTGGACAGGGTCAGGAGCGCTACTTCCTGCTGGTGGTTGACGACTACTCGCGTTACACCACAGTCTTCCCCTTGCGCAGCAAGGGTGAGGTCACTGAGGTGTTGATCGACTGGATCCGCGCAGCTCGTCTCCAGCTTCGGAGGAGCTTTGGCTCTGTCTTCCCTGTTTTGCGTCTGCACTCGGACAGAGGCGGAGAGTTCTCCTCTAGCCTCCTGAGTGCCTACTGTCGTGCGCGAGGCATCCGTCAGACCTTCACGCTTCCGGACTCACCACAGCAGAATGGGATTGCTGAGCGCCGCATTGGCATGGTCATGGACGTCGCTCGTACGTCCATGATGCATGCGGCTGCTCCCCATTTTCTGTGGCCGTTTGCGGTCAGGTACGCTGCGCACCAGATCAACCTCCACCCCAGGGTCTCTCGACCGGAGACCTCCCCAGCCCTGCTGTGGACGGGGAAGGTTGGCGATGCGTCGGCGTTCCGGGTCTGGGGATCTCGGGCGTTTGTTCGCGACCTGTCTGCGGACAAGCTGTCCCCTCGTGCTTCTCCCTGCGTCTTCCTGGGGTTCCCCCCCGACGCCCCTGGGTGGCAGTTTTACCACCCCACCTCTCGACGTGTTCTGTCCTCCCAGGACGTCACGTTCGACGAGTCGGTACCCTACTACCGCCTCTTCCCCTACCGCACTCCGTCCCTCCCCCCACCCCAGCTCTTCTTGGTACCAGGTCCCCCCCCGGTAGTCCCCCTCCCCCCTCAGGGTCCTGCCCCTTCAGGTGTGTCCCAGGTAGACGCGGTCGAGCCTGTCGAGGTCACTGGTGACTCTGGTGCTGCTGCAAGAGCTGAGCCTGGGGGTGCGGAGTCTGGGGGTGCTGAGCCTGGGGGTGCTGTGCCTGGGGGTGCTGAGCCTGGAGGTGCCGAGCCTGGGGGTGCTGTGCCTGGGGGTGCTGTGCCTAGGGGTGCTGAGCCTGGGGGTGCTGAGCCTGGGGGTGCTGTGCCTGGGGGTGCTGAGCCTGGAGGTGCCGAGCCTGGGGGTGCTGTGCCTGGGGGTGCTGTGCCTAGGGGTACTGAGCCTGGGGGTGCTGAGCCTGGGGGTGCTGTGCCTGGGGGTGCTTTGTCTCGCCGGGAGCCACTCTCCCCACAGGAGCTGCGTGAGTGGTTTGCCAGACGCTGGAGGCGTGCTGCTGGTGCTGGTGGTTCTTCGGCTGCAGAGGGTACTGCTGCCGCGCGTCCCGGCGGTGCTTGTACTGTGGGTGCTGGAGCTGCTGGGTCTGAGAGTTCTCCTGGTGCTGGTCCTGCTGAGGGTGTTCGCGCTGAGCCTGCCGTTGGCGGTCCGACTGACAGTGCTCCTGGTGCTGCTGCTGGAGGTTCTGGAGCTTTTGGTGGTGCTGCTGGAGGTGCTGCTGGAGTGGGTACTCCTGCCGGGGCTGCTGGTGCTGTTCCTGCTGTTTCCAGCGTCGCCGCGCGGCCCCGACCGTACTTCGTTCCGCTCCTGCAGCAGGTTCTTGGTCTTACACCTCCTCCTCCTCCCTTAGAGGGTCCGCAGCCTGTCCGGTCACAGCCACAGCTACAGCCTGCCTCCCCTTTGCCTGCTCCTTCTCCCTACGCTGGTCCGTCAAGAGGTCTTACTGAGCGTCGTGAGCCTGCGTCTCGTCCTGTGTCGCCTGTTCGTACTGAGCGCGCTAGTGGTCGCGGGTCGCGTCAGCGTCCTCCTCCTGTCCCTGGCACGCACCGGATGTCACTGCGTCCGTCCACTGCTCCTCTGCGTGCCCCTTTGCCTTCTCCTCCTGCTTCCTCTCTTCCTGCTCTTGCCGACCCGGAGTCGGACTCTCTTCGTGCTGCCAGTCCTACTGTCACGCGTCTCCTTGCTACTGCTGTCACTAACCCTTCCTTCGAGTCGTCTGCTGCGTCTGCCCTTGTCACTGAGCTTGTCGACTTTGCTGCGCGCTGTCGTCTAGACTACGCTGCTCGTCTTGTCACTGCGTCTGAGTCCGCCTGTCCTCCGTCCGTCGGGGGTGAGTGTGCCCTTGGAACGGACGTCCTTGAGGACAGGCAGGAGGAGTTCCAGTGTCTGGCGACCACTTCACCTCGTCTCGCGTTTGTACTGCTAGCCCCTGAGGGAGACCCGGATGCACCAGACATCCCGACTCCGCGCTCTTACGCGGAGGCGATAGAGGGTCCCTACTCCTCTCAGTGGCAGGCAGCTATGGATGCAGAGATGGCTTCCTGGAAGTCCACAGGCACTTACGTTGACGCTGTTCCCCCTCCTGGGGCGAACATCGTCAGTGGCATGTGGATCTTCAGGGTGAAGCGGCCGCCGGGTTCTCCGCCTGTCTTCAAGGCGCGTTACGTGGCTCGTGGCTTCAGTCAGCGGCAGGGGGTTGACTACTTTCAGACCTTCTCCCCCACCCCGAAGATGACCACTCTTCGGGTTCTGCTGCAAGTTGCTGCTCACCGTGACTACGAGCTGCACTCTCTCGACTTCAGCACAGCTTTCTTGCAGGGCAGCCTGCACGAGGAAATCTGGCTGCGTCGCCCACCTGGCTTCACTGGGTCTTTTCCTCCTGGTACCCAGTGGAGTCTCCGGCGTCCAGTCTACGGTCTCCGCCAGGAGCCACGTGAGTGGCACGACACACTGAGGACTACGCTCGCGGCACTTGGGTTTGCTCCTTCTACTGCCGACCCGTCGCTGTTTCTGCGCACCGACACCTCTCTGCCGCCGTTCTACATCCTCGTGTACGTCGACGACTTGGTCTTTGCCACAGCTGACACTGCTGGACTCGCCTACGTGAAGTCCGAGCTGCAGAAGAGACACACGTGCACTGACCTGGGTGAACTGCGCAGCTACCTTGGCTTGCAGATCACCCAGGACAGAGCACGCCGCACCATTACCCTGACTCAGTCACACATGGTGCAGCAGGTCCTTCAGCGCTTCGGCTTCACGTACTCCTCGCCTCAGACCACTCCTCTGCCTACTCGCCACTCGCTCTCAGCTCTGCCTTCGGATGAGTCCGTAGAGTCGAGTGGCCCGTTTGCAGAGCTTGTTGGCTGCCTCATGTACCTGATGACCTGCACACGACCTGACCTCGCATACCCTCTTAGCATTCTCGCACGCTTTGTTGCTCCTGGGAGACACCGACCAGAGCACATGGCTGCAGCGAAGAGGGTGTTGCGCTACTTGTGCAGTACGTCGGGCATGGGGCTAGTGCTTGGAGGGCGCAGTCCAGTGGTCCTCACTGGGCACGCGGACGCTTCTTGGGCTGACGACCAGGCTACGCAGCGGTCGTCACAGGGTTACACCTTCAGCCTTGGTTCCGGCTCTGTCTCGTGGCGGGCTACCCGCTCGTCTTCTGTTCTCGGCTCCAGTTGTGAGGCTGAGATCTACGCTGGGGCTATGGCTGCACAGGAGTTACGCTGGCTCACCTACCTGCTGACCGACCTTGGAGAGCAGCCTCGTTCTCCTCCAGTCCTGTACGTAGACAACAAGGCCATGCTAGCCTTGTGTCGAGAGCAGCGACTGGAGCACAGAACGAAGCACATTGCTCTCCGCTACTTTCTTGCTCGTGAGCTACAGCAGCGTGGACAGCTGCGAGTTGCGTACGTGGCCTCTGAGGCCAACACTGCTGATGTCTTCACCAAGGCACTTGCGCCTTGTGATCATCAGCGTTGTTGCACGCAGTTGGGTCTTGTGCCTGTCTTGCCTCACTTGCTCTCCTCTTGACCTTGCTTGTACCTTCGCCTATATATACTCTTGCTCTTGCTTGCTTGACTCTTGTATATCTCTATATATGATCTTGCATGTGAACTGGCCTTCTGGCCTTTGAACTTGTGCTCGGAATGCGTGGTGACTTTGTGATCCACCCTGAGCTTTGCTTTGCTTTGCTTGACTGGTCTTGTGACCCCTTGTTCTCCCCCACTTTGCCTATGGGGGTGTGTCAGAACATATAGCTTACTTGTTTCTGTAGGCTATAGTGGGGTATCCCATAGGGGGTACAACCCAATTAGGGTGTCCTATTTGTACTCACTTCATTTCATAGTCATTCATTCTCTCGTTCACACTTTCTCACAACCACGCCCACGGTACAGTATGCGTGACGCAATGACGCGTCTGATTTGTCGGCACATTTGCGAAATGCAGGAATAACAAAGAAGAAACTTGAACGAGAGAGGCCGAATCTTCGAGTTGCGTGGATGCTTTTAGTAGCTATGAACCAACGACGTTAATGACTACTTTACCGCATCGTCGTGTCTGTCACGACGATGGAAACGGGGCATCGTGAGAGGCGGGGGTGTGTGAGAACGATGCTCTTAAGATTTCGTTGTGCTGATTTTAAACTTAGGATGGCGGGCGTGCTGTGTCACTCGAGGGGCCCGTTCTGTGTGGTTTGTCCTATTCGTGTGGCCGTTGTTAGTTCCATGCACCTGTCTTGAATCCCCGCTTGTGTGGTTTGGTAACCACACGATGGAATGTCTGACGTGGGGTCGGCGAACAACGTCTGGCTGTTAATGAGCTTGTACCCCACAGGTGCAGGCTACACGTAGTAGTGTGAATCCGCCCAAATGTTTGTTACACGCACGATGAACCTCGCTTAGGTGGCGGGACAGTCGGGCGAATGCGTGGACGAAACCACTCACGTTTCGTCCTTACATTTCGCCTGCCTGACTTGTGGCCTAAAAACAAGGCAAACCAGGGTCAGCCTGCTTTGTTCGGGACTGCACGTGCGTTGGTAACCGCAGCGCGTGCACTGTAGCCAGCCATCCAGGTGCTTGTACTGTGGGAGCAGCAAGCAGGGGTTTCGACCTCGAGTGCAGCGTTTCCATCCGGTCCATGGCAAATTCGCGTGCACTGGTCGGGCATCATGTGTACCGCGCTGATCGTGCCGAGCCGAACCAAACCACCACCGTTCGCGACTGTAACAGCTGCAGCTAGCGAATCAGAACCTTGTGGCGAACGTGGCAAATGCGATGTGGCGAAACCTCGTTGGGTTGTCCCTTAATACTGTACCACAGCGTCAATCGGCTCTACGTCGGACAACTGGAAGGACCCTCCTCACATCGACGGTTAAGATGTCCGAACCTTCCCTGGCAAGCCATGGCAAGGCATGCACTAGCAGCACAGCCCAGACGAAGCCATTTTTCTGGTGGAGGGAGCGGAAAGACAAGCAGCAGAACAAGCAGGTGGTTTGCCTGTCCGCCCAGCGCCTACCACGCCGCTGGCAATTATTCCTCCCAACCACCGCGCCCCGTCTGTCTCATCGGCCTTTTTCCCCGCTCCGTCCACCTCTGTCACGCCGCGGCCCCTGCTCCGCCTCTTGTTTAGGTCCCCGTCAAAAAGGTGTTGGAATGGAAATGCGAGTCCGTTGTCTCCTCCGTTGCAGCTTGCACCGCGGTACCGAACGGCTCTTGAATCTCCAACTAACACCACTTAGTAGAAGTAGACGATTGGAACCGTGGATACCTGCTCCTAAATTAACCGTCTCTTTATTATTGAGTTGAAATAAAGCGAGATGTGGTACACCATTCGAGCCGCGTTCGAGAAAGCATGGCTCTCTCAGGATGACGATTTAGTCACTATTTCGTCCGGCCGCGAGCCCGAGTCTTTGAAACCTAAAACAGAGGACGTCCGAAACACTAACAGCAGCAGCCAAACCGGAGCGAGCCAGAAGGAACAGGATGCTCCGGCGAAAACTCTTCAAGCGGAGGAGACGGAAATGACAGAAGTTGAGAAGAATCTGTGCGACGGGAATTCGTGCGACGGGAATCCGTGCGACGGGAATCCGTGCGACGGGAATCTGCGCGACGAGAGTCAGGGATGGCAGTTTCTGGATGCGGGAGACGGTTACCACACGATCAAGAACCGGCAATCGGGCGATTCGATCGGCCACTGGCGCGGCGAAGATGTCACCGCCGTTCCAGATGCTGACGTGTCGAATTTCAACCACCAGTGGAAGCTCTACGACGTCGGGAAAGGCCTCGTCGCCATTAGAAACCGCTGTACAGGCATGGTGTTGGCGCGTAGTCTCGGTACCGTGATGGCGTATAACGGGGATGAGAGGAACCCGAACCACTGGTGGAAAATAGAGGAGCTGTCTCCGTCAGCAGTGTATTACGTCGGACCTTGGGAGTACATACGGAATCGCCGGAGCGGCAAGGTGCTGCAGCACTCGCATCAGCAGCCGTTGACGGATTCCGTCAAGCGTGGCAGCCCCGTCGCTACTACTAGTACCAATACTGTACAGTCTAACTCAGTCAAAGCAGTAGAGCTGATTCCCGATGACGTCACCCAGCAGTGGCGGCGGGTTGCCGTGTCAGAGGGCTACACGTGCCTCCAGAATCGCGCCTCCGGCTCTCTGCTCACCACCATGATGACTCCTCACGCGCCTCGGAACTCCTCCCTGCTCACTATTGGCGGTGCTACAAGTGGAACCGAATCATACAGTAACGCAGCTGCATCACGGGCAACAGCAGTGCCAGTGGAAGCACAGGCGAGGGACAACGAGGTGACTCGCGAGGGCAATCAATGGCTGCTGGCGGAAATCAATGGTTTGGAGATCTTCACGCTGCAGAGCCGCCATGGGGGAGCGTTTCTCGAGAACACGTGCGGGGAGAAGGTGCAAGGAAGCTTGGGGGCGGTGGAGGCGAGCACGTGCTGCCAGTGGGCCGCCATCCGCGCGGATGCTGTTGATGACGTGGCCAAGGCAACAGTGGATGACGTGATGGGATCCCCACCAGAGCTTTTCAAAGCGCCTCGCCAGTCCAAAGCGGTGCTTCTTGAGGCGCCTAAACAATCTACGCTGGGGCTTGCACTTGGTAAATCCGCACCTCTGCCGCCTGTGCTGCCACTCTCGCCGCCAGCCTTGCTGCCTAACAACTCGACACCGACGACGCCCACCAAACGCGAACCCTCATCATCATCACCATCAGCAGAATCCGGCCTGTCCCAGCTGCCACATGTGATGCCGAAACTCCTGTGTAACCCGACAGAAAGGGCGGTTGAAGCGGGGTCAGAGTTGGCGGACAAGGGGATTGACGGCGAGCGCTACTCCACCACGGCTCTACCCGTGCTGCTCCCCTGGACCTACCTCCGCAACCGAGTCACCGGCATGGCCCTTGCTGCGCATGCGAGCGGCAGCGTGGAGGCGCGGGAGTTTGAAGGCGGCAGCCTGCAGCAGCAGTGGCGCGCTGTGAGTGTGGGCGTGGTGGCAGCAGCACCAGCCGTGTCCTACTTCTTCCTCCAGAACCGCGCCTCTGGGTTCGTTCTGAGCCACTCCTGGTGGGGCAGCCACGTGGCAGCTAGTGACTGCCACGTGGCAGGGAAGTACAGCCAATGGGAGCTGAGAGGCGCTTGTGGAGGGTTCTGGGCGATCAAGAACCGGGGCAGCGGGAAGGTTCTGGACCATTTCTTTGGGATAAGCATTCAGGCTTATAGCGAGGATGAGCTACAGTACCAGCACCACTGGACCATCACCCCTGCAGGGACCACAGGTGGGAAGGCGCACTGGGAGCAGGAGGAGGACGAGAGCGGTGACAAGTGGTGCAAAGCGGTGCAGGGTGGTGGTGAGGGGTCCGCGAGCCTTGCTCTTGTGGTGGACCGGCCGTGGAGCTATGTGTTCAACCGGGACAGTGGGAAGGCGCTGGCTGTGTGCGAGGAGAGCGTAGAGGCTGTGGATTATGAGTGGGGGGCCTTGGAGCAGCAGTGGCGCGCCGTGAAGACGGAAAAGGGTTACCACGTGTTACAGAATCGAGCCTCCGGGCTGGTTCTGGATCATTACAGCGGGCGGCGGATCGGCGCTTATGATAACGATTTTAGCAGCGAGTTTCACAAGTGGCAGCTGAAAGACATAGAGGGAGGCGTGTATGTTGTATTGAAGAACAAGAAGACGGGGATGGTGTTGGATCATTACTATTGGGAACGGTTGGAAGCGGTGAGCGGGGATGAGAAGAACAAGGCGCAGCACTGGAGGGTGGTGCCTGCCAGGCAGATGGCCCGAGAGGGCATGGGTCCCCAGCCTTCCCCCGAGACTGAAATCGTGGTTGGAGATTTGATTTCTCTCTGGGAGAGAGACAGTGTGCCGAAAGGGGAGCTGAAGGGGTTGTATTTAGTGGAGGGCGGCAAGCCTCGTCACGGCATTCGGGTGGTGAAGTCGGGGTTTCGTCACAGCCGTCAGATCCACCTGCTGCAAGTGAGCATCCAAGGGCTGTCATATGCGAGTGTGGCTGTGCCGGCTGGGGTGGACGTGGGGAGGGGGAGGATCCGGGTAGCACTCAGGAGGAGTGCGGAGGGGGGAGGGGAGGTGGTGGTGGTTGACTCGCTTGACTTGATGAGAATTCCCGAGGTGGAAGGGCCGTTGGTCAACCTTGCGGTTTTTGTGGGGGTAGCTGCGGATCAGGTTTGCATGTGAGGGTGGGGTTGGGTGTATTGGAGGGTGTTGATTTGGGGATGAAATGGCTGGTTGTGCTGAGTGAAGTGAAGTGAAGGTTGGATGAGTAGAGCCAGCCTTCCATCTTTCTTGTTTATTTCGTCTCTTCTATCTTCCCTCAACCTTGACCTCTGTCCCGCTCCCCCCCTTCCCCCCACCCCCCCAACTCCCACCTACCCCCTTCCCCTCCCCAGATCCCCCCCCCTTCTAACCTTGTTCCTCCCTCTCTATTTTGTATCCACCCTTTGAATGTCCTCTTCATCTTCAGTTAGCTTTTGCTTGTGCATTCGTAAGACACTTTGTATATAATATAGGGCAGAGGGGCCCTCCTGTCTGTTAAAACGCATCATCCTCATTATTTTTCAAACAGTACTTAAGCTTGTTTCACCTTAGCATCGCTTATACCGTATTGCAAGAGCACTTTTAAAAGCTGTTCTCCGTTAACCCCCGAAGGACCACAACAAGGCTGCCATAGCGAGTCTCTGTCGTGAGCACACAACCCAGCGCAGCCCATTCGTAACTACCCAAAACACATTCGAATCGAACTCAACTAATTATAGCCGAATTGAAGCCTTCACCCCCCAGCATCGTTGCAGGTCACGAAAGCTCTCGCTCGAATGGCAGCCCAACCTTGGCTTGGGAATACCTTGACCGCCTGCTACCAAGCAGACAACAACAACATTGTCTTTTTCTGTTTTCTTTTACCCGCCATGGCCAATTGCGTCCACCTTTTCGCAATCGCTTTTCCGTGCGGCCGCTCTTACAGCACGACGTAGTGCCTGGCATTGGCATCCCTAATACCGCCGTTGGTGCATTGGGTCCTTCATCAATCGATCGAGATTGTAGAGGACGGTTAAATAGTCGTTTCGTTAAGAGGTTGTATCGGACGGCGACGTGGTAGCTTGCGCGATCACGCGTGCTTTGTTCAACGGTCGCGTCGCGCTCAATTGACTTTGGCTTCTCTTTCGCTCGCAATGCAAGCTGCTTGGTACTAAATCGTTACCAGACGAATATAATCCGGCTCTTCGCTAAGAGTGCAGTCTCTTCTCTAGCTAGCTACTCTTTTACGTTGTTATTATATTAGTACGTTTATAATTCATTACTGTACTATCAACTGCCTCTCGCGCCGTTCATGGAAGCAAAGAGAGGCTGCAGCAAGCTCGTCGCCAGATAGCCACAGGCAGTCAGCTCCCTCTCCGCTCGCCGCGACAGTCGCTGCGGCAGTCGCTGCGGCAGTCGTGCGCGGGCGTGTCACGGCACGGATGGAAGGTGACTCGATGCCCGCGCCGCCCACGCCGAGGCCGGGGGGCTCGCCGCGAATCCTCGTGGCCGTCGACGAATCGGACGGCGCCGAGGCCGTGAGTGCCGCACGTGCCGGCGCCGCCTCTCCGCCTTTACCCTCTTTCCACCCTCCCGCCGTCTCCCTCGCCCTCCTTCCCCTCTTCCTTCCCCCCCTCCTCCATTTTCTCACGTCCCCCATCTCCGCCTTCCCCTCCTCATCAGACACCCGATCTGTCGTCAACCCCCCCCTCTCTCTCCCACGCGACCTGCGCCTCGCGTTCCTCACAATGCCTCTTTGCCACCTTCACCCATCCCCTCCACCTCTCTCCACCCCTCCTCACCCTTTCCCACCTTTCCCCACCCCTCCCCACCCCTCCCTTTCCTCCCCCACGTGCGTACTTGGGCTGCCCCGGCAGGCCTTCCGCTACGCGCTCACGCTGCTGAGGCGCAGCGACAACATATACGTGCTGCACGTGCTGGACCCGCGCACATGTGAGCTGCCCCACCCACCCATGCCATGCCACATCATACCATGCCACATCATACCATACCATAGCTCACTGAGCCCTGCTGAGGCGCAGCGACAACATCTACGTGTTGCACGTGCTCGACCAGCGCACATGTGAGTTGTCCCCTCTACCCCACCCATGCCATGCTGTTTCATGCCATACCTACCGTGCCATACCATGCCATGTGTAAATCACCCCTCCTCCGACGCAGCGACAACATCTACGTGTTGCACGTGCTGGACCCGCGCACATGTATGTTGTTCCCTCCGCCCACAAATGCCATGCAATACCATGCCATGCCACGCCCACAAATGCCATGCCATACCATACCATACCATACCATGCCATGCCATGCCATTCCATGCCATGCCATGCCATGCCATGCCATACCATGCCATGTGTCAATCCTCCCTCCTGAGGTGCAGCGACAACATCGACATGCTACACATGCTTGGCCCGCGCACATGTGACATGTGCGTTAGTCCGTGTCAGGCAATGCTGTGCTGTGCTGTGCTTTGCCGTGCCGTGCCGTGCCGTGCCATCTCATGCCATGTCATGTGTCTGTAAACCTGCTGCCACCCCTCTCCCATCCGTTCTTCTGCTTGTCACGCCACCTGTGGGCAGCAGTAGCACCACCCCCCACCCTCTTTCCTTCACAACGCCTCTCTGGTCGCTCCACCCCATCCGATTCCATCCAACCCCATCCCACCACTTGGCCCTGGCAGTATCAGCGTGGCGGGCGGAGGCCCAGCAGGCGGGGGCAGGCAGCAGCAGCAGCAGCGGCGGCAGCGGCGGCGGTGGCGGCGGTGAGGTGCAGGCAGCCATGGACGCACGGGTAGATGCGTTGCTACACCGCTACCGCAAGCTGGCTCACAGCAAGGGGGTGAGTGTCGCTCCAGGGGTGAGTTGCATGGCATGGCTTTGGGGGGTTGAGTGTCATACTAGCACGTGCGCGTAACGTACGACAGGGCCGATTGCCCTCTGGCATTGAGAGAACGGTGCAGGCATGCATCGATTGATGCGCGCGTGGATGCACTGCCACACCAGTACCTCACGCTGCTGCATGTTAAGGGGGTGAGTGTCACTGCAGGGTGAGTGTCACTGCGGGGTGAGTGTCACTGCGGGGTGAGTGTCACTGCGGGGTGAGTGTCACTGCGGGGTGAGTGTCACTGCAGGGTGAGTGTCACTGCGGGGTGAGTGTCACTGCGGGGTGAGTGTCACTGCGGGGTGAGTGTCACTGCAGGGTGAGTGTCACTGCAGGGTGAGTGTCACTGCAGGGTGAGTGTCACTGCGGGGTGAGTGTCACTGCAGGGTGAGTGTCACTGCAGGGTGAGTGTCACTGCAGGGTGAGTGTCACTGCAGGGTGAGTGTCACTGCGGGGTGAGTGTCACTGTAGGGTGAGTGTCACTGCAGGGTGAGTGTCACTGCGGGGTGAGTGTCACTGCGGGGTGAGTGTCACTGTGGGGTGAGTGTCACTGCAGGGTGAGTGTCACTGCAGGGTGAGTGTCACTGCAGGGTGAGTGTCACTGCGGGGTGAGTGTCACTGCGGGGTGAGTGTCACTGTGGGGTGAGTGTCACTGCAGGGTGAGTGTCACTGCCGGGTGAGTGTCACTGCAGGGTGAGTGTCACTGCAGGGTGAGTGTCACTGCAGGGTGAGTGTCACTGCGGGGTGAGTGTCACTGCGGGGTGAGTGTCACTGCAGGGTGAGTGTCACTGCGGGGTGAGTGTCACTGCGGGGTGAGTGTCACTGCAGGGTGAGTGTCACTGCAGGATGAGTGTCACTGCAGGGTGAGTGTCACTGCGGGGTGAGTGTCACTGCAGGGTGAGTGTCACTGCAGGGTGAGTGTCACTGCGGGGTGAGTGTCACTGCAGGGTGAGTGTCACTGCAGGGTGAGTGTCACTGCGGGGTGAGTGTCACTGCGGGGTGAGTGTCACTGCGGGGTGAGTCACTGCGGGGTGAGTGTCACTGCGGGGTGAGTGTCACTGCAAGATGAGTGTCACTGCAGGGTGAGTGTCACTGCAGGGTGAGTGTCACTGCGGGGTGAGTGTCACTGCGGGGTTAGTGTCACTGCGGGGTGAGTGTCACTGCAGGTTGAGTGTCACTGCGGGGTGAGTGTCACTGCGGGGTGAGTGTCACTGCGGGGTGAGTGTCACTGCAGGATGAGTGTCACTGCAGGGTGAGTGTCACTACGGGGTGAGTGTCACTGCAGGGTGAGTGTCACTGCAGGTTGAGTGTCACTGCGGGGTGAGTGTCACTGCGGGGTGAGTGTCACTGCGGGGTGAGTGTCACTGCAGGATGAGTGTCACTGCGGGGTGAGTGTCACTGCAGGGTGAGTGTCACTGCGGGGTGAGTGTCACTGCGGGGTGAGTGTCACTGCGGGGTGAGTGTCACTGCGGGGTGAGTGTCTTACTGGTGGGTACGGTGAGTGTGGTGGTGCAGTGTGCATTGCAGAGCTACCAACACTGGCTTAGCCTTGGGATGAGCGTGCGTCATCACGCACCCCTTGTTCCGTCACTTCCGGCGATCTGCCACGGGATGTCACCTCTCTACAAACCGACAAACCACACACAATCCACATCTATCATTACATACCCCTTGTTCCGCCATACCAGGTGATCTGTCACGGGGTGTTGCCCAAGGGTACCCATTGATGGCCTACAAACCAAACAAACAAACCCCTCACCTGCCACCCCTCACCTGCCACCCCTCACCTGCCACCCCTCACCTGCCACCCCTCACCTGCCACCCCTCACCTGCCACCCCTCACCTGCCACCCCTCACCTGCCACCCCTCACCTGCCACCCCTCACCTGCCACCCCTCACCTGCCACCCCTCACCTGCCACCCCTCACCTGCCACCCCTCACCTGCCACCCCTCACCTGCCACCCCTCACCTGCCACCCCTCACCTGCCACCCCTCACCTGCCACCCCTCACCTGCCACCCCTCACCTGCCACCCCTCACCTGCCACCCCTCACCTGCCACCCCTCACCTGCCACCCCTCACCTGCCACCCCTCACCTGCCACCCCTCACCTGCCACCCCTCACCTGCCACCCCTCACCTGCCACCCCTCACCTGCCACCCCTCACCTGCCACCCCTCACCTGCCACCCCTCACCTGCCACCCCTCACCTGCCACCCCTCACCTGCCACCCCTCACCTGCCACCCCTCACCTGCCACCCCTCACCTGCCACCCCTCACCTGCCACCCCTCACCTGCCACCCCTCACCTGCCACCCCTCACCTGCCACCCCTCACCTGCCACCCCTCACCTGCCACCCCTCACCTGCCACCCCTCACCTGCCACCCCTCACCTGCCACCCCTCACCTGCCACCCCTCACCTGCCACCCCTCACCTGCCACCCCTCACCTGCCACCCCTCACCTGCCACCCCTCACCTGCCACCCCTCACCTGCCACCCCTCACCTGCCACCCCTCACCTGCCACCCCTCACCTGCCACCCCTCACCTGCCACCCCTCACCTGCCACCCCTCACCTGCCACCCCTCACCTGCCACCCCTCACCTGCCACCCCTCACCTGCCACCCCTCACCTGCCACCCCTCACCTGCCACCCCTCACCTGCCACCCCTCACCTGCCACCCCTCACCTGCCACCCCTCACCTGCCACCCCTCACCTGCCACCCCTCACCTGCCACCCCTCACCTGCCACCCCTCACCTGCCACCCCTCACCTGCCACCCCTCACCTGCCACCCCTCACCTGCCACCCCTCACCTGCCACCCCTCACCTGCCACCCCTCACCTGCCACCCCTCACCTGCCACCCCTCACCTGCCACCCCTCACCTGCCACCCCTCACCTGCCACCCCTCACCTGCCACCCCTCACCTGCCACCCCTCACCTGCCACCCCTCATCTGCCACCCCTCATGTGCACCCCTCATGTGCCACCTCTTATGTGCCACCCCTCATGTGCCACCCCTCATCCGCCACACCAGGTGATCTGCCACGGGGTGTCGCGCAAGGCGAGTGACCGGCGGCAGGAGATATGCGAGGCGGTGGTGCGGCAGGACATAGAGCTGCTCGTCGTGGGCACGAGACAGCTCAGTGCCGTCGCTAGGTGAGCATTGGTGACGCCAAGAGGTGCTGCTGGTGTGAGTGTGCAGAGAGATGGTGTGACAGGACATAGAGCTGCTGGTCGTGGGCACGAGACACCTCAGCGCCGTTGCGCGGTGAGTGGCCGCTAGAAGTGCCTACAGGTGTGACTGTATCGAGCTGCTGCTGCTGCTGGTGTGACTGTATGGACTGGTGGTGAGGCAGGACATAGAGCTCGTCATGGGCACGAGACACCTCAGCGCTGTTGCTAGGTGAGTGAATGAGGGGCAGGTGAGTGAATGAGGGGCAGGTGAGTGAATGAGGGGCAGGTGAGTGAGGCCAAAGGAAGGTGTGACTATATTGAAATGCTGCTGCTGTGACTCTGTAGTGCTATGGTCTGGCAGGCAGGACATAGAGCTGATAATGTGACTCTATAGAGCTGCTGCTTGATGTGGCTGCTGCTGCTGGTCCTGGTGGTGCTCCTGCTGGTTTTGAGTCAACTCAAAAGCTGCTCCTGCTGGTTTTGAGTCGACTCAAAAGCTGTTTCTGCTGGTGAGTGCTGATGGTGGTGTGATTTGGGTGGTGGCAATGCTCCAAGATGACCAGAACGTGGTTCGTTTCTGGCACTCAGATTCGACACTCTAAAGAAGGTCCTGCTGAAGAAAAGGGTGGTGTGAGCGAGCGATACCTGCTGCACAATTGGCGTCTCTCTTTCTTTTTCGTCTTTCTCTCTCCTGCTCCCATCCCTACGCTCAACCTCCCTCCCCACCTCCCCTTCCCCCAACCCACCCCCGTGCCCACTCCTCAGGGCCGTGAAAGCCAGTGTGAGCGATTTTCTGCTGCGCCACTGGCGTCTCTCTTTCCTTCTCTTTCAACCTGTGCTATTCTCCACTTCCCTCCCCCAACCCACCCCCGTGCCCACTCCTCAGGACCGTGAAAGCCAGTGTGAGCGACCACCTGCTATACGGACTTCTTTCGTTCATTTCTTTCCACCTTTCTCTCTCCTCCACTCCGATCCCCCACCCCACTCCTACCTATCCGCAGGGCCGTGAAGGGCAGTGTGAGCGACTACCTGCTGCACAACTGCACGTGCCCCGTGCTCGTAGTGCCCTGGGAGCACATGCTCAAGTTCAAAAGCCTCTCCTCCTTCAAAGCCCGATAGCCTCTCAGCCTGTATTGCTCACTAGCCTCCCCACCTTCCTGCTTAAGAGCACGCGGCATGCTCTCGTGCTGGTAGTGCCCTGGGAGCACATGCTCAAATTCAAAAGCCTCCCCTCCTTCAACGCCCACTAGGTCTCCTTCCATCCCGCCAGCCCCTCTTCTTTCAAAACCGTCTATCCGGCTCAAGAGCCTACCTGGGAGCATGCTGCACATGCCCTTCAGATCAAGGATCAAGCGCCTCTCATGCTCGTGGTGCCATGGCAGCACATGGCAGCACATGCTCAAGCTCACCCGCCCTTCCTCCCTTCAATGCCCGCTAGTCCCCCCCTCTCTTTTCCGTCAAGTCGCGCTACGCTAGCCTCTCTTCATTCAAAGCCTCCAGGCCTCTCCTTTTTCCTGATGTACTCCTTACACGCTCACCCCTTATGCTGCACTGGCCTATCGTCCATGCAACACATACCTTCCCCTACAGCACCCAGCAGATGATCGCTGCATGCCTGTCGCCTTGCATGTGATCTGCTATATCCGGGGGCTATGACTTCATGTGGCTTGACTCTGTTACCCTAGCTAGGTTAGGTAGGCGTTTTTAGCACGATGGCGTTTGTCATAAATGGCAGCCAGGGTTTGTGATTTCGCGTTAGGGATTCAGGGTTTAAGGTTTACCATGATTATTTATATATGATTAGTACAGCTGAGACACTGCAGTGCTTCCTCTCTCTGGTACTTGCCAGCCGTCTCTATTTCATGAATTTCCTGGGTGCCTGGGTGACTGATTATACGTGTACACGTTGTAGCACATGTCCAATATACTCACTACGCGACTGTCAGTAACGGGATTGGCTGCGCCGAGAATCCTCCACCATATTTTTTTGTCCTGAAACGTTTCACTGACGGGAACAGTAACGGGGTTGGCTACTCAAAACCCCAACTCTTGTCTCACTCCGTCGCACCTTGCTGAAGCCCACAGAAATCCATCTTTAACTTTCAGAACCGATTTCTATCCCAGTCTGGCTTCGTCAACCTTCCAACCCAGTTTCTAACTAGTTTCCACACATAGCATGGGACGCTGAATATATCTCAGCGCGTTCAGGTCGTCGCCCGGGGGAGCTCGCTGCCCGCAGGCAAAAACAATAAACCCCAGTCGGGCATGCATCCGGTCAGGGAGGCATCAACCCTAAATCCATACCTCCCTGTGATTTAGGGCGTGTTACAGTTTTTTTTGTCTGGACGGCTGGCCGTCTGGACGATTGTGTGGTAACGAGACTCGTTAAATCTCAGCAACTTCAAAAAATGTAACATGCCCTCAGGGTTAATGCCTCCCTCGGATGGCATGCCATCCATGCCTCCCTCGCACTGCACAGCACGAGACGGATCGCACGCACCCTTATAATCGGCTCAACCGACCTCCCCCTCTCTCCCCGTCCCTCACCAATTCTGTCACGCGCCCCATTCGCGGCCCTTTCTCTCCCGCTGCTCCTCAACTGCGCCTCGCCCGTTCCCAGTCGCTCGTCGATCTCCCATCCGTCGCCGTCGCGAGTTACCGGCCGTCAGTTCTGCCGGCTTCAAAACGACGTTAGCTCTTCCAGTGCCGCTACCAGCACCCCTTCCGACGTCGTTAGCGCCTCAATTGACGACGTCTGTCGGCAGCCGGCAGAGATGACGGCCGTCGGCGATGACGCGAATGCGAAGCCTGCCGACCGTCAGTTTAGACGGAAGTACGCGCTGACTGACGTGCTGCGGACGTCTGCCGGCCTCGAATACTCCGTTCACAGTTGAGTGAGTCTTTTGTCGCGACGCGAATTGAATCCGCTGGTCTAAAATCGCCGTCTCACGACGCTTCTAGTACGGTCACTTCACGATTCCGCAGACATTGAATGCACTACGGCCCGTGACGCCAGCACGTGCTCTCCACGTGCCGTTTCACCTCTCGTCTGTGCTCAACAGTGCGTTCCTGCTGCTGCTTACGTCCGCATGCGACCATCCATGCGACCATCCCTGCGGCCATCCCTGCGAAAATCCTCCTCCCCTGCATCCCATAACCCTCACAGACCCATGCCTACCATTACCTTCCCACCCACTTGCTCCTTGCCTCCCTTCTCCTTTATTCCCTTCCTCCATCACTAAATCTCACCACCCTGCCACTGCTCACATCCGCATGTCACGATCCATGCGTCCATCCTCGTCCCCTGCATCCCACCAGCCCTTCTCCTCCTGACGCCTTCCCTTTACTCCTCACCATTCCTCCCTGCCTCCATCGGCCCTCTCTCTGCCGTTTTTATCTTCAAGAATATGAGACGTCTCAAATCTAGACGTCTCAAATCTAGACGTCTCAAATCTAGACGTCTCAATTCTAGACGTCTCAAATCTAGACGTCTCAAATCTAGACGTCTCAATTCTAGACGTCTCAAATCTAGACGTCTCAAATCTAGACGTCTCAAATCTAGACGTCTCAAATCTAGACGTCTCAAATCTAGACGTCTCAAATCTAGACGTCTCAATTCTAGACGTCTCAATTCTAGACGTCTCAAATCTAGACGTCTCAAATCTAGACGTCCCAAATCTAGACGTCCCAAATTTAGGCGTCTCAAAACGTTTCCTCCAAATCATCTGCTCCCTGTCGACCCTCTCTCTGCCGCTTTTATCTGTTATCTAAAGAGACGTCTCGATTCTAGGCGTCTCAAATCTAGATGTCTCAAATCGAGACGTCCCAAAACGCTTCCTTCTCACCACCTCCTCCCTCTCGGCCCTCTTCTTCTGCTGTTTGTTCTCTTCAGGCTGCCCGCGGCAGTACAAGCAGGACATGGAGTCCCTGTTTCCCGGGCAGGACGTGTCGAAACTTTTGATTCTGCCCACGCAGCAGAGGGCGCGGGTGGATCTGGTGAACACAGGCGAGGAGGTTGAGAGGGAGAAGGACCGCTTATTGGAGACGGTAATAATGAGTATGGAATGTGCTGGTGCGGGTGTGGGTGCAGGTGTGGGTGCTGGTGTGGGTGCAGGTGTGGGTGCAGGTGTGGGTGCAGGTGTGGGTGCAGGTGTGGGTGTGGTTGTGGGTGTGGGTGTGTGAGTGCAAGTGGGGTTGGGGATGGAAGAGAGAGGGCGCGCGTGGATCTGGTGAACACGGGCGAGGAGGTTGAGAGGGAGACGGTAATAATAACGAGCATGCAGTGTTTTGTAGCCCTGTGCAATGTTGGAGAACGAATGATAAAAATTCTTCAAATTCAGACTAATTCACAGTCACATGTGCTGTTTTTTTCTCTTTCTTTCCCTTGGCAAAAGTTGACTTTCCAGTGTGTACCAATCCCGTTGCCCTTACAATCTTGCCTGCTCACACCCGCAATTCCAGCAATCCATATGTGCTTCTTCACCCCTTGATTCTCCGCTCCTGCTTCCCTGCCTTTTTGTTGAACCTTCAAATCCAATCGTTGAACCTCCACAAATCCTGGCCCTTCAAACCTTTTTGCATTTTCCGTGCCATTGTCTCCTCGCCCAGAACACTCGCGTGCCCGCCCCTCTGCCCGCCCCTTCACCCCCTCGTGCTCGCCTCTCTGCAGTTTGCAGCGTTTGCGTCGGGCCTCGTGGAGAGTCTCTCTCAGCAGGGCCACTTCGCTGACTACATTGACCCCTGCTCTGGCCTCCCTGTATGTGCACTGTCAGCTTCCCCTGTATGTGCCCCGTTAACTGCATTGACTACATTGACCCCTGCTCTGGCCTCCCTGTATGTGCCCCGTTGACTGCATTGACTACATTGACCCCTGCTCTGGCCTCCCTGTATGTGCATCTTCAACTGTGTGCGATGGCATGCGTTGACCCTGCAATGCAGCTAATGCGTCCCCTCTTCAACTCAGTGGCTGCATTGCATGCGTTGACCCTGCTCCAACCCCCCTGTGTGTGCACCCACAGCATTCCCTGTGTCCCCTCGTGACTGCATTGACTGCATCGGCACCTTCTCTGGCCTCCCTGCATGGTTCTGTTTGCTGCATTGACCATGCGAACAGCGAAGGCCCGTCCCAACCGCATGAATATGCATTCCTTTCCCCCCAAACGTATGGTGAACCGCAGCAGCCAGACGTACTACTGAGAGGTGGGAGGCGGCACAGTAATGCATGCCCCCATGTTCACCCCTTTTTCGTCCCCCCCTCTCCGCCCCAACCCCACACTCGCCCAACGAGATGGTAAAACGCAGCAGCCAGGCATTCTATGAAGAGGTGCAGCGGCACAGACGTGGCCCCATATTCCCTCCCCCCTTTTTTCCACACCCCACCCCAACACCACCCACTCGCCCCATCACATGGTGAATCGCAACAGCCAGACATGTGGCGGCGGCACAGACGCTGCTGGGTACCGGTGCCAATGCAGCTGCTGGGCTGGGGTACCCGGTGCCAAGCAGGCTGCTGGGGTACCCGGTGCCAATGCAGGCTGCTGGGGTACCCGGTGCCAATGCAGGCTGCTGGGGTACCCGGTGCCAATGCAGGCTGCTGGGGTACCCGGTGCCAATGCAGGCTGCTGGGGTACCCGGTGCCAATGCAGGCTGCTGGGGTACCCGGTGCCAATGCAGGCTGCTGGGGTACCCGGTGCCAATGCAGGCTGCTGGGGTACCCGGTGCCAATGCAGGCTGCTGGGGTACCCGGTGCCAATGCAGGCTGCTGGGGTACCCGGTGCCAATGCAGGCTGCTGGGGTACCCGGTGCCAATGCAGGCTGCTGGGGTACCCGGTGCCAATGCAGGCTGCTGGGGTACCCGGTGCCAATGCAGGCTGCTGGGGTACCCGGTGCCAATGCAGGCTGCTGGGGTACCCGGTGCCAATGCAGGCTGCTGGGGTACCCGGTGCCAATGCAGGCTGCTGGGGTACCCGGTGCCAATGCAGGCTGCTGGGGTACCCGGTGCCAATGCAGGCTGCTGGGGTACCCGGTGCCAATGCAGGCTGCTGGGGTACCCGGTGCCAATGCAGGCTGCTGGGGTACCCGGTGCCAATGCAGGCTGCTGGGGTACCCGGTGCCAATGCAGGCTGCTGGGGTACCCGGTGCCAATGCAGGCTGCTGGGGTACCCGGTGCCAATGCAGGCTGCTGGGGTACCCGGTGCCAATGCAGGCTGCTGGGGTACCCGGTGCCAATGCAGGCTGCTGGGGTACCCGGTGCCAATGCAGGCTGCTGGGGTACCCGGTGCCAATGCAGGCTGCTGGGGTACCCGGTGCCAATGCAGGCTGCTGGGGTACCCGGTGCCAATGCAGGCTGCTGGGGTACCCGGTGCCAATGCAGGCTGCTGGGGTACCCGGTGCCAATGCAGGCTGCTGGGGTACCCGGTGCCAATGCAGGCTGCTGGGGTACCCGGTGCCAATGCAGGCTGCTGGGGTACCCGGTGCCAATGCAGGCTGCTGGGGTACCCGGTGCCAATGCAGGCTGCTGGGGTACCCGGTGCCAATGCAGGCTGCTGGGGTACCCGGTGCCAATGCAGGCTGCTGGGGTACCCGGTGCCAATGCAGGCTGCTGGGGTACCCGGTGCCAATGCAGGCTGCTGGGGTACCCGGTGCCAATGCAGGCTGCTGGGGTACCCGGTGCCAATGCAGGCTGCTGGGGTACCCGGTGCCAATGCAGGCTGCTGCAAGGTGCTGCTGTCCCACCTCTCACCCCCCCCCCCCCACTCTCATTCCTCCATCCCTTCACCCCTCCCGCCCCCCCCCTCCCTCCCCCTCACCAGATGGTGAATCGCAACAGCCAGACATATTACGGCGAGGTGGAGGCAGCACAGACGCTGCTGGGATACCCGGTGGCCAACGCGGGCTGCTGCAAGGTGCTGCTGCACCCCCAGTGGGGCTCTGCTGTCTACCCCGCCACCTTCTTCACGTCCGCCCCGCTTGATGTACTGCTGGAGACCTTGAAACATGTCAGCTAGGGCCAACGCGGGTTGCTGCAAGGTGCTGCCGCACCCCGCCACCTTCTTCACTTCCGCTCCCCTAGAAGTTCTGTTAGAGGCGTTGAAACATCACAACTGACCAATGGTTAGGGCCAACGCGGGCTGCTGCACCCGGCACAGGGCTCTGCTCTGCTGTCTACCCTGCCAGTCACCTGCTTCACATCTGCTCCTCTTGATGTGCTGCTAGAGGCCTTGAATTGAACCATCTCAACTGACTGGAAACGTGAGCAATGCCTGCGTCGAATCATCATGTGCGGCTTTTGAGTCTACTCAAAAGCTGCTGCATGCTGCTGCACCCTGCATGGCAGCATGGAGCTCCGCTCCGCTGTCCACCCCTGTGCCACCTTCTACCCGCGTGGGGCTGCGCCTGTGCTGCGCTGTCTACCAAGAACCTCTTCGCGCCTCAAGGCCTCAACTGACGCCTAATGGTGGGAGTGAGTCGGGCAGCGTTGCCTTGAAGATGCTGCAAGATGCTGAATGCTGCTCTGCATGGCGCTCTGCTGTGCACCCCAGCAGCACACACCTTCACATCTGCTCCCGCTCCTAAATGCCTTGCAGTTGCAGCACACATATGGATGGATGAGCCTTTTGGGGTATGTGTGCTGGAGAGGAGGCATGTTACGTGCAAGTTGCAGCTGCGAAGGCACTGTAGTCTGTATGCCATTCCTGGATCTGTTACCAACTGAAATGATTTATTTTTTGCAATGGGAGCATTGACACCATCGAGATACCGTAGCTCGTCAGTACAAGCTTCGATATGTACGCTTGCTCAAAACCTGCTGCAGAGCTTCTGAGCCACATCATCCCAACAGACTAGGAAGGGGGGGGCTGGTGTCACATCATCCCAACAGCTTGGTTCTCAATAATGTATCATAATTATGGTGTACATACAAGTTCAAAGCCTGATGTTGCATATAGCAACACAATGGTGTATTCTAAGGTGGTCTGACTGACGTCCCTGGCCTGGAGCGAACGGACCACTTGACTACAGCACCAGACACGCGGACCTGTATACTCTAGTCTAGTATCTGTGCTAAACAACGATAATAAATCTATCTGAGATCACCTAAGCCCACTACAGTACTAAATAACCCAGGACCGACACTTGCCTGAACGAAACGGCAGCAGATTAACTCTACAGACGCACCTAAATCCAACAGCACAAGCTGTGCTGTGTGTCCACTGCACTAACATACCGTGTTACTACCTTACAACCTACACAGTACAGTACCCCGCCATCTGGTGTCTGCACGAATGCAATGCTTCTACGTTGATGGTCACGCCATCGACACACATACCATACTGACATCAACACCTGGGGGACACATACACATCCCCACATCCACACACACACACACACACACACACCCATTCACCCTGGCCAGTATACAAGCTGCGGAGCTGAGATGGAGACAGCACTTATCCACCCACGCGCGAGCAAAGGTAAGATACTTGCAGAATTGATTCACCCCGTGCCTACACCCATCTCCTTCAGTGTCAACGCCAGCGCCAACATCGCCCCTTCAATCTCCTCTCCCCTGACCCCCGCGCCTCTCCCCTGACCCCCGCGCCTCTCCCCTGACCCCCGCGCCTCTCCCCTGACCCCCGCGCCTCTCCCCTGACCCCCGCGCCTCTCCCCTGACCCCCGCGCCTCTCTCCTGACCCCCGCGCCTCTCTCCTGACCCCCGCGCCTCTCTCCTCTCTCTCTCAAACACCCGCTCTCCCGTGCGACGGCCGAACGGCTTTCCCGGTCGCCTTGATCGCGAGTTCAGAAAAGACAGAAAACGCCATCCACGCGTCGAGCACCGCCAGCTGGATCTGATTCCACCCGAGCCCCTGACGCCACCACTCCGCCGGTCCCACTCGCCTTGGCTTCATCACCGGCGTCCCCACCAGCTGGTAATTCATTTCGTCTAGATCTGCTTGTCGCCACCGCTTGTTGTGGTAGATCTTCGCCGCGAGCTGTCCCAGCTCCACGAGCCCGTTACATGGTAACCCGTAGTCGGATTCGAGCAGTTTCGCCGCGGCCTCGATCCCGCACCCGCCGATCGGCACGTCGGGGTTTTCGAGCAACTCCGCGACCTCTTCAGGCATTCGATCGATGTAGAGCATTTGGAGAATCAGGCAGTGGGAGCTGTTGCTGAGCTGGACTAGCGCCACGCTGCCTTCCCGGCCTCGCTGTCTGATTGGTTGACATTTGATGTCCATGCCGAGCATGATCCGGTGCTGGTGGCCTGACGTCACGTCCCACCCGGCGAAGGATTGGACCCATTCGTTTGCCACGTCAGCCTCGTCTGTTAGGGTGACTGAGATTGGTGGTTGATGCGGATGCGGCTTCACGGAAAGCTTTTGCTTCATTGCTGACCGCTGGATTGGAATGCCTAGTTGCAAGCCGTCGGATTGGAACCCGCGATCGAAACTATTCTAGAATGGGTAACGCTACGTAAATCCTTGCAAAGAAAGAGAACCTGTTCGGACAGAGTAAGGCCAACAAAAGGAGCAGAATTCGACTGGTTCTGTCCTCGTTTACGACGCAAGATAACCGAAAGCCTCTCAGAGAACCTGTCGTTGCAAACTGGTGGTCCTTCGAAACGTGTAGGCCTTCTAGCTGCGTCTCCTGATAACCCGAACCTTGATCAGCTGAAGCAGATTCGAAGGGAACGGTGTAAATGAAAATTCCTGGAACGCAAGTCGGATGGAGGATGGGTGCTGTGTGACAGGCAATGGCGGATGGAGGTGGGCTGGCGGGATGGTGGTGTGCCGCTGTGCCTGGTGTTCTAGACGCGAATGATGTGGTGATGTGTGGTGTGGTGTGGTTCGTTGTGTTGTGGTGTGATGTGGATGTATGGCAGGGAGGATGTGTCTGACGGTGACGGAACGGAGTGACGGAACCTGGTTGGGCGGAATCTTGAGGCAACACAGAAGATGGGATTGGGGGGAACAAAGAGGAACTCTGAGGGATGCGACATGACGTGACTCCTTATGTAGTCTAAGGGCTCGGTACAGATAGCAGAACACTAATTTCCATAAGAAGTAATTACTTTCGCAAAGCATTCAAACAACACCAGGATCTGCCTTGAAGGTCCAAGGATAACATTACAGAATGCCGAAATGTGTCAAAATAAAGGATATTTTTACGTATATACCTAAAATAATGCAATGATATCCAATATAAGTGCTATATACTTATCTATGTTCGCCTGTTCAAGTTATTGACGTGCCATGGAGTTAAAACAAGCGTTACCTAATGCTATTATGATAACGAATCTGCTGAAACGATCCCAAAAAGACACGTTACAAGGATGTTGCTGAGGGCGGATTCCTAATTTCGTGTCATCCGCACTTATTAATACGAATTTATTTTTCCCCGAGCCAATGTTTGCCGATTTGACTTCGGGTCATCCGACGCGGCACATTTGGCTGGTCCCACATGATCGGATGACACAAGGGCCGGATACAAGTTAGGAATCCGCCCTGACTATCAGTCACCTCCGCCTGCCGAAGTACAACCGTCAGCACTTGTGCCAACCGTCAGCACGGATGCCGCGAGTTGTGATCGTCAGGGAGTCGTAAGAAGTCGTCTAATATCAGAATTCGGTTACTGCGATGGTCTAAGAAAGATGTGCGACATAATTCCGCCAGCACGCAGCCAAACTAAGATTGACATTGACGACCGGGCGAGCGGTGAGTCGGTCACTTCCAGCTCAGCAAAGGCATCTGCTTGGACTACGTTTTCTTGCAGAGTTTCTGACACCGCAGCAATTTCGTGGGTTCAGTTCGAAACTCGATCGAGATCGACGGTTTTCACAGTACCAAAGCTTCAAAGACCACTGTTGAATCCTTCGTGGCCAACAATAGCAGAGTGAGAATGCTGCCGTGGCGTCCAGCAAGGCAGTTCTGGCAGCCAGAGACACGTTGGCGCGCAACCCCGCACTCCACTGATTTCTCCTTGCCTCAGACATTCATATTGGCATTGAAGTTTCCCTTGCCATTCATTCTTGGCCATCTTTCACACGATTCTGTCTCTTGATTCATTGCTGCACAGGTTCACAAACAAGCCTCACTCACCCAAACCAGCCCTGGCAAGAAGCCATCGGAGTCGCATCGACTTGCGTCTTCAGAAGTAGCAAAGGACCATTCGAGCCAATAAAATACTTTTCTAAACGCGATTTTCCTGCCGAAGTCTCTAGCACTGAGACGGTCACACATGGCAAGAAACAACAGCGCAATGTCTACTAAAAGGCTATTCGGAGGCACGACTATACTTTTCCTCCTCGCCCTCCTTGTTCCTGACCCCACCGGGTTGGGGACCGGCACACGCGGCGCCGGACACTACTTCGTCGCGGAAGCGATCCCCTTCATCGAACAGTCGCAACGTAAGCTGGCCGCAGCTCGCGTCGCGTCGCATGCCATGCGGCGACAACCCAAAAGCCGGAACTTCTGGCGAAGCAGCGACACATCCATAATGGATTACATGAGCCTTTAATCTCTGCTTTCGCTCCTCTCCATCCGGCTTCATTCCATCTGGCGAGTCGCACCCCTCCCTTCCCATCGGCTTCTCGCCTTCTCCTCCACACTGCAGCCGCATGCGCACTCCCCTTCCCTCCCCGCTCACCTCCTTTTCCCCCTGCTCTCTTCCTCTCCCCCCTTCTCTCCTCCTCTCCCCCCTGCTCTCCTCCTCTCCCCCCTGCTCTCCTCCTCTTCCCCCTGCTCTCCTCCTCTTCTCCCTGCTCTCCTCCTCATCCCGCTGCGTTGCTCTCTTTCCCCCCCTCCTGCAATCAGCGACGTGGGGCGTGGGTCGTCATGCCACCACCTAACGAGCAAATGCTCCTCTCTCCCCGCTCATACCCTTCCCCCTCTCTCTCCGCCCCTCCCCCCCCTCTCTCAACCTCTCTCCCTCAGCAGTCCTGCTTGGAGGAATTTTATGCCATGACGCATCGATTCATTCACCCAGCAACTGCTATTCCCTCTACTTCGCTCCTCTGCCATCCCACTTGTCGTCAGTTGTCAAAGATTTGGGAGGCGCCACAAGGAGTTGTCAAAGGTGTGGGGGGCATCCATACATCGGCGAAGACTGAGCGACCACCTATACCCTTCAAATCGACCTTGAAGGCCTTCTATGTCCCGCCCTAGATCATCGTCCTACTCCTCCCCATCTTCCCTCTCACTGCAGTCCCGCCTCTCTAGGAGCCAAAGCGTGGGCCATCGACATTCGACGGCGCCGGGGACTGTGCTAACTCGTACAACTTCCAGGTCGGCTTCTGAGGGGCTTGCATTTGCTCCCCCTACTCCCTGCCCTCTCTCTCTCGCCGCATTCCCGCCCCTCAAGGAGCTACCTAAGGTGTGGAGCATCGATATCGTCAACGGCGGCGACTGTGCTGACTTGACGAGCTACCAGGTCGACTGCTTAGGCACCGAAATTCCCCCCCTTCCCCCATTCCCCTCCCCCCCCCCCCTCCTCTCTCTCTCACTTTCACCCTTTCCTCGCTGCAGTCCCGCCTCTCAAGGAGCTATCGGAGGTGTGGGGCATCGACTTAGTGAGCGGCGGGGACTGCGCAGAATCTAGCTTCCAGGTCATTCGCCAGTGCGACGATGAGGGCTTCATCGTCTACATCTAGTACGCTCCCATGGTGATTGTAATGGTGATGTGATGATGATGGCTGCCGCCGCCGCCACCGCCGCCGCCGCCGCCGCCGCCGCCGCTGCTGCTGCTGCTGCTGCTGCTGCTGCTGCCGCTGCTGCTGCTGCTGATGCTGCTGCTGCTGCTGCTGCTGCTGCTGCTGCTGCTGCTGCTGCTGCTGCTGCTGCTGCTGCTGCTGCTGCTGCTGCTGCTGCTGCTGCTGCTGCTGCTGCTGCTGCTGCTGCTTCTGCTGCTGCTGCTTGTGGTGCTGCTGATGGTCATGCGCGAGGGCGACGCGGAGGGCATCATCGTCTCAATCTAGTACGCTGCAATGTGATGGTGGTGGTGTGTTGATGATGATGATGATGATAATGATGATGATGATGATGATGGGTTGTTGCTGGTGATGAGTGCTGCTACTGCTGCTGCTTCTTCTTCGCCCAATATATCTCCTTTCGCCCTCGCCTTCCCCCCTCTGCATCACACCAGCCCAAAGTCTATGAGTTCACGCTTCGACATCATTCCAGATGTCATAGAGAATCAAATCCTCTCCCGGCGCCCTCCCCCTTTGCCCCTTCTCTGCGTCCCCCCTCTGCATCACACCAGCCCAGCGTCACTCGTTTCGCGCTTCGACACCATTCCAGACGTCATCACCAACCTCACACGACTCACCTCCCTGTGAGCCACTCTCCCTGCGCTCTCCCTCCCTGCGCTCTTCCTGCGCCCTCTCCCTGCGCTCTCCCTCCCTGCGCTCTTCCTGCGCCCTCTCCCTGCGCTCTCCCTCCCTGCGCTCTTCCTGCGCCCACCCTCTGCGCTTCGACACCATCCCAGATGTGATCACCAACCTCACACGACTCATCGCCCTGTCACCCTCTCACCTCCCTGTAACAGGAGGTGCAATTCTAGCAACCTAATTAGGCTCGCTAAACGTGACAGGAGGCGAAATGTTAACAATCGCCCATTTGTGTGTGTGTGTGTGTGTGTGTGTGTGTGTGTGTGTGTGTGTGTGTGTGTGTGTGTGCATGCGTGCGTGCGTGCGTGTGTGTGTGTGTGTGAGTGTGTGTTTGAGTGAGTGTGAGTGTGTGTTTGAGTGAGTGTGAGTGTGCGTGTGAGTGTGAGTGTGCGTGTGAGTGTGTGTGTGTGAGTGTGTTTGTGTGAAAATGTGTGTGTGTGCGCATGTGTCTGTGTGCGTGTGTGCGCATGTGCGTGCATGCGTGCGTGAGAGCACGGCAGGGATCTGGGGTTCGTCAGCATCGGAGGCACCCTACCCGCCAGCATGGGTAACATGCCCAACCTGCAGAAGCTGTGAGCCCCACCCCACCGCACCACACCGTACCGCACACTGCGCTGTCCACTGCAAACTGCGCTGCCCATCACCCCTCTCTCTCATCACTCTCCTACCCCTCTCTCTCTCATCACTCTCCTACCCCTCTCTCTCTCATCACTCTCCTACCCCTCTCTCTCTCATCACTCTCCTACCCCTCTCTCTCTCATCACTCTCCTACCCCTCCCTCTCTCATCAACCCTGCAGGGTGATCGGCCAGGTGGACTCGGGGAGCATCCCGGCCTCCTTTGGCAACATGTCCAGCCTGCAAGAACTGTGAGCACTGCTTACTCAATTCAGTCACTCAATGTGAGCAGCACTTTCTCAATACAATCACTCCCTGCAAGAACCACTTAATACAGGCACAGTGCACTCTAGCAGGTGGTGATTATACACACCAGGCAGGCCTTACAGAATTTCCAGCGTGAGTCATGCCCTACAAGGGCATGGCCATTCCTTACGAGAGCATGGCCTCACGACACGTCTCTTCTGTATGTCTCACCTTGTGCATCCACAGCACCATCAGCGTGAGTGACTACGACACCACAGGAGCTGCTCTCACAGGGCCCATCCCCGAGTCGTTCTCCAACCTCAAGAACCTCACCTCGCTGTAAGCACAACCAACCTCGCTGTAAGCACAACCTCACCTCGCTGTAAGCACAACCTCACCTCGCTGTAAGCACAACCTCACCTCGCTGTAAGCACAACCTCACCTCGCTGTAAGCACACCGCTACCTCTCTACCTACCACGCCTCTCCCTCCCATGCCTCTCTCCCTCCCACGCCTCACAGTGATCTCACCAACAACAACATCGGGCCGCTCACTGACAGCATCGGCACCATCCCCAACCTGGAGTACCTGTGAGTCAGGGGAGGGGGTGCAGGGTGTGTGGAGGGCGGGGTGTTAGAGGGGGAGGAGGGCTGTGCGGGCAGGGTGGGGTGTCGGAGGGGAGGAGTGCTGATAAAGAATGGTGGAGTAACCTATGTCTGGTTGTTATCACCTGAAGCGAGTGCATGGATGTAATGATATGAAACCTGCATGTATCATTGTAGTTTTTGTTTTGTTATGTAGTTTTTTTTTGTTTTGCCTTTCTTTCTTTCTTGTGCAAAACCGATGTAAGCTTATAAATAAGATAGGTTCATTGCAGCACCACGTGTGAACGCCCTCCACCCTACTCCCTGAAGCACGCTCACAGGCAACAACTTCACAGGCAGCACCATTCCAGAGACATCTCAGAAATCCCTCCAGCACCATTCATGTGTGATTGCTCTCCGCTCTGTTCCTTGCAGCTATCTCACAGGCAACAACTTCACAGGCAGCACCATTCCCAGCACCATCACCGGCCTCTCTAAGCTCCTCTCACTGTAAGTCTTCACGATAAAGCAGCAACTCACATCACCTCACCGTGCCTCACCTCACCGCACCGCACCACCTCCGGCCTCTCTAAGCTCCTCTCACTGTAAGCCCCCACTGCCTTCAACATGCACCAGCGAGTTACCGCACCTCACCTCACCGCATCTCACCTCACCCCGTCCATTCAGTGACTTGAACCATGCCTCCCCGTTTTCCTACCTTCCCCATCCTCTCCCCCCTACCTTCCCCATGCATCAGATCCTATCACTGCTGCTGCCTGCTACCTTCTCCCTTCTCCCGACTTTCCTCATCCTCCCCGCCCTGCCTTACCCCCACCAGCCGCCTTGACTACACGGGCGTGGGCGGCTCCATTCCATCCGGCCTCGGTTCGCTGCCTGACCTTGGCACCCTGTGAGTCACTGCTGCTGTCACTGCTGCTGTCACTGCTGCTGTCACTGCTGCTGTCACTGCTGCTGTTACTGCTGCTGTCACTGCTGCTGTCACTGCTGCTGTCACTGCTGCTGTCACTGCTGCTGTCACTGCTGCTGTCACTTCTGCTGTCACTGCTGCTGTCACTTCTGCTGTCACTGCTGCTGTCACTGCTGCTGTCACTGCTGCTGTCACTGCTGCTGTCACTGCCGCTGTCGGTGCCACTGTCAGTGCTGCTGTCAGTGCTGCTGCTCGCTGTCAGTGCTGCTGCTTGGTATGAATGCTGCTGCCTGCTGTGAGTGATGCTGCTTTCTCTCAGTGCTACCAGCTCTGACCCTTATCCCCCATACTCATTACCGGTCTTGATTCTCCAATTCACTTGCCCCTCATCTCCTCACCCCATCACAAGTCAGTGCCTTACATGCCCTCATCTTTACAAGACACACTGCTCACTTCGATGTGGAATGTACTTCGTCCCACCCACCCACACAGGAGGCTCGAGGGCAACAAGCTCACTGGCACGCTTCCACCCACTCTGGGTGCACCGCCTCTCACCTACTTGTAAGCTCATGTGCCCAAGAACATACTTTTGAGGCACATTTCGAGGTGCATTTTGAGGTGCATTTTGAAGCGCATTTTGAGGCACATTTTGAGGCGCATTTTGAGGCTCATTTTGAGGCGCATTTTGAGGCGCATTTTGAGGCGCATTTTGAGGCGCATTTTGAGGCGCATTTTGAGTGCACCACGTCTCGTCTCCTTGTAACCTCAAGTGCCATAGCACAGACTTTTGAGGCGAAACCTTGTCTTGGCGGCACCTCCTAAAAGCCAGGCACTCTCACTTTGCACGCACCAACTCTCCTCAACTTGTAAGCTCACGGTACCACAGCAGGGAAGAGCAGCTTGTGAGAAACTGACTCTGTAATGCACCATGTCTCCTCACCTTGTAAGCTCAAGTGTCACAGAATAGACGCGACTCTTGGTGGCACCTTCCAAAAGCCAGCCGTTCTTGCTGCAACTCCTCTCACTCTTGGTGGCACCTCCCAAAACCCACTCTTGGTGGCACCTCCCAAAACCCACTCTTGGTGGCACCTCCCAAAACTCACTCTTGGTGGCACCTCCCAAAACCCACTCTTGGTGGCACCTCCCAAAACCCACTCTTGGTGGCACCTCCCAAAACTCACTCTTGGTGGCACCTCCCAAAACCCACTCTTGGTGGCACCTCCCAAAACTCACTCTTGGTGGCACCTCCCAAAACCCACTCTTGGTGGCACCTCCCAAAACCCACTCTTGGTGGCACCTCCCAAAACCCAGCCAGTCTTGCTGCAACACCTCTCCTCGCGTTGTTGGTGTGCCAAACACCAGGAAGCATTTTGTGAGGAAATTGCACCAATGTGCGTCCCTTCCCTATCACCACCCTGCTTTCCCTCTCGCTGCCCCTGCCTGCAGCAACTACGACCCTCTGTAACCTGCCCTGACAGCAACACCCCGTGCGAAGTGGAGCAGAGCGACAGCAGCCCCCTCTGCACCGCTCTGCCGACTCACCCCGCCTCCCCTCTCACCCTGCCTCCCTCTCACCCTGCCCCCCTTCCCATCACTCCCTCTGCATGCAGCAACTACGATCCCACCATGGCCTGCCCTGCTAGTGGGACCTCGTGTGTGGTGGAGCAGAGCGACAGCAGCCCCTTCTGCCCTCTCACTGTCCATGCCCCCCCCTCTCACTGTCCATGCCCCCCCTCTCACTGTCCATGCCCCCCCTCTCACTGTCCATGCCCCCCCTCTCACTGTCCATGCCCCCCCTCTCACTGTCCATGCCCCCCCTTCACTGTCCGTGCCCCCCCTTCACTGTCCATGCCCCCCCTTCACTGTCCATGCCCCCCCTCTCACTGTCCGTGCCCCCCCTCTCACTGTCCGTGCCCCCCCTCTCACTGTCCGTGCCCCCCCTTCACTGTCCCCACCTGCAGCAACTACGACTCTACCGTGGCCTGCCCTGCCAGCAACACCCAGCCCTCTCACAAGCTCCAGCCCTCTCACTCCCTTGCCCTCTCTCTCACTGCCCCTGCATGCAGCAACTACGACTCTACCGTGGTCTGCCCGGCCAGCAACACCTCGTGTGTGGTGGAGCAGAGCGACAGCAGCCCCTTCTGCACCGCCTGTGCTGCCTTCTGCAAATCCTGCATCGCGTCTGCACCTGGTGGGTACTATCTGTTGCAGAGGCAGCAGCACCTGTTCTGTCCATTTTTGAGGCGCCTAAAAAAATCGTCTGTTGCAGAGCCAGCGGCACACACACACACACACACACACACACACACACACACACACACACACACACACACACACACACACACACACACACACACACACGACATTTCTAATGTTTTGTTTTTGCTTGTTTGAGTGCAGCCCCAGCATCTGACGCTCAGCCATCCGACGCTCAGCCATCCGAGGCATCTCCTTCCGAAGCATCCCCATCGGAGCCTTCAATCTCTCCTCCCATCCCTGCATCTCCCTCCGAGTCTTCCCCTCCCCCTCCTCCTCCTGTTGAGCCTCCTCCATCCAACCCCGACGGCGGCAGCAGCACCACCACCATCACCAACACCAACAACAACAACGCCAACGCCAGCGCCAATGCTTCCTCCTCCAGCTCGGGGTTGTCGACAGGAGCCATCGTGGGCATCGTGGTGGGCGTGCTGCTGCTGGTCGTTGGTGTCATGGCTGCTGTTTTCATAATCATTCAGTGTGGCAAGAGGTCCAAAGGTAAGCACCTGAAAGGCACCTGCGTGAGCAAAAGTTTCTCCTCTCCATGTGTAAGACTCCTCTCACTTGTCGGGGTCTTTATCCTCATTCATTGCGGCAACATGTGCAGAGTGGCCAACATGTGCAGAGTGGCCAACATGTGCAGAGTGGCCACATGTGCAGAGTGGCCAACCATGTGCCTGGCCAACATGTGCAGAGTGGCCAACATGTGCAGAGTGGCCAACATGTGCAGAGTGGCCAACATGTGCAGAGTGGCCAACATGTGCAGAGTGGCCAACATGTGCAGAGTGGCCAACATGTGCAGAGTGGCCAACATGTGCAGAGTGGCCAACATGTGCAGAGTGGCCAACATGTGCAGAGTGGCCAACATGTGCAGAGTGGCCAACATGTGCAGAGTGGCCAACATGTGCAGAGTGGCCAACATGTGCAGAGTGGCCAACATGTGCAGAGTGGCCAACATGTGCAGAGTGGCCAACATGTGCAGAGTGGCCAACATGTGCAGAGTGGCCAACATGTGCAGAGTGGCCAACATGTGCAGAGTGGCCAACATGTGCAGAGTGGCCAACATGTGCAGAGTGGCCAACATGTGCAGAGTGGCCAACATGTGCAGAGTGGCCAACATGTGCAGAGTGGCCAACATGTGCAGAGTGGCCAACATGTGCAGAGTGGCCAACATGTGCAGAGTGGCCAACATGTGCAGAGTGGCCAACATGTGCAGAGTGGCCAACATGTGCAGAGTG